CTGCCTCTTTCTCCTCCCTAGATGCACAGGCTGACGGCATACACTGGGATGGGGCCCATGGCTGTTACTAATTAATCCAGGCATTAGGTTATACCTCAGAGAGCATTTCTATAATGTGTTACTAATTAATCCAGGAATCACAATTGGACAGACTATCACAGCTGCTTATGACAACAGACAGTCAGCCAGACTGGGAACAAAGAACCCATCTCTTATGATATCCCATGATATCCTACAAATGAGGGAATACATAGGAGACACCAAGGCCTTGAAAGTCTAAAACAAAGGTCTTTCTTTCCCCCAGACTTCCGTCTCCACTCTGACACGTGAATGCTTGTTCCAGTATAAAAACCCCACCCAGGTATATTCAGGCCAAAGTATGTTCCCTAAAATCCATCACTGTTTTTTGACTGGTGATAATCCAGCACTGGGGAGAGCTCTAATGTTGGTTTCTGTCTCCCATGGCTCCTTTTTCTCAGTTTAGGTTTAATGGTTTAGTAGTCCACTAAACCATGAGTATCCAAAGGCTGAGATTGCTGGGCCCTGGAATCTGGGATCGCCTCACTGCTGACCTTTCTAATTAGTGCCCTGTGAGTGTTTTCACTCTGGGTCAACTCCACACTCTTTTACTGGTTTACTTTTTTGCTGTGTTAGAAACTCAACCCAGAGTCTTATACTTGCTGGTCTGTTTTATTTCTTTTCTTTTGTTTTCTTTCTGCTTTTTTTCAATACTGGAGAGCGAGCCCAGGGCCTTCATATAGAGGTACATCCTCAACCCTTTTTAAATTTTTATTTATTTACTTGAGACAGGGTCTCACTAAGTTGCTCAGTTTGGGCTCAAACTTTGAATCTTCCTGCCCCAGCCTCCAAGAGGGCTAGAGATACAGGTGTGTACCAGCCTACCTGGTGTTGTTTTATTTCCTTACTTTTAGCAACAAACATCTCCTGTTTGCCTTCACCTCTTCTCCTACAGACAACTATCCTAATACATTCAATGTATGTCCTTTTAACAAGGTATTCTTAAACGGGGCTGTGGGTGCCAGAGCCTGAGGAAAGAGGGTCACCAGGTTCAGCCCCACCTGGGCAACTTAGTGACTTAGCAAGACCCTGTCTTGAAATAAAAAATTAAAAAATAAAGGGGCTGGGATGCAGCTGAGGGAAAAGGCTCTGGGTTCAATTCCTGGGTTCATGATCAATAATTAACCAAATCAATCGAAATGTCTTCTTGTAAAACACACACTGCTGTTTTGGTGCGCACGTTTTGACTTTTCACAGTAATAAGGTCTGCCCCTTAGGAAACTTTCTTTACTACATGTTCTCAGGAAAGGACTGCTGTGTCACGGAATGTGTACCCCTGGTTGGAACCATTTGCTCCTTAGGTGCCTGCCCCACCCCCACCCCCTTGATTGGTCCAAGCTACAGACACCCTATTGGTGACATCATCCAACTTTCACACTATGCCCACCTCTAAGAGATGCCAAGTGCCAGTTCCTTCTGGTTCCCTTTTCATTCTTCAGGTCATCAACGAGTCGGAGCGTTCCTTCATATGCTTACCCATCGAATGACTTGATTTGGCTGAAACCCAGGTGGGGTCTCCAGACCCCAGTCAAATGGCACATTTGCCACACCTCGGGCCTGAGCTGTACTGTACCCCCTACCCCACCCCACCCCCTGGTATGGGCAGTGGCCACTCACCGGGTCACCCAGTCATCTGATTGCACTGAGCAAGCTCCTACTGTGTGTTGTTCCAGCACTTGATGGTTACAACAGTGGGAAAAATACAAACATCATCTCCTTGAGGGGTGCTGTTCTGGTGGGACAGAAAATAAAGTAAATGATGAACATGCACAGAGCAGAGATGACATGCTGTAAGATCACACAGAGAAGAAACCAGTCAGAGTGCAGCAGGAGAAGTCATGGGAGGGCCCACTGAGAAGGGGACCTTCTAATAAAGACTCAGTCTTGCAGATGTGGGGAGAACATTCCCAGCAAAGGGAGGAGCCACTGCAAAGCCCAGAGGCTGCAGCCTGCCTCGTGGGGACCCTACAGTCCAATCAGCCTCTTTTTCTTAATTTAGCTGCTCACAGCTCCTGGATCCCGTCTGTCACCCCTGCTTCCCCGCCCTCCCTCCTTCCTCTTCCTTGCGCTGCACAGGATCAAACTGAAGACTGCAAAAGTCATCTCGGCCCCTCGCCCTCTCACCCTGTTATCCAGCTACAGCGCTGCCTCCCCCAAAGCAGACCGCATCTCCCTTCTCAAAAGTCCCCAGAGCCAGAGCTCAGAGCTCCTCTGCTCGGCAGGGTACAGCCCCTGCCGTGGGCTGGATCTGAACCCAGTCTTGGCTGATTCTTGGGGGGCTAGAGGGGTGCCAGTCCTGTCCTCAACAGCCTGCCCCGTGTGTCCCTCTTCAGCGGCTGCTTGGAATTACTCCATCCTTGCGCTGACAGCCGTGGTGGTCGCCTTCAGAGAGGACCACAAATTTGAGCCCAGCCTGAGCAACTTAGAGAGACATGTCTCAAAAAATAAAAATGGTTGGGCATAGCTCAGTGGGAAGGGCCAGAGTTCCACCACCACTACGGGGAATGAAAAAAGAAAAGCAGAGGGCAGCTTTGCCTCACTCCTCAGGCAGCCCTGCACCTTCCAGGAAAGCCAGAGCATCATGAGGAAAAACAACCGAGAGGATGGACGGCTGGAGGGTGGGCACCCACACGCGTGGCCAGTGAGAGGAGGCTGCAGCAGAGCTGTGAGTGCAGAGACAGAGTCGGTGTCCATCATAGGATGACCGCCCCTAGGCCAGGCCCAGTATGGTCGGGACAAGGAACACAGGCCTTCCAGCTGGACATGAGACAGAGAATACTAAGCATTTAACCTACGGCCTTTGCTGTGAGCTACATCAGTTTTATTTTAGTTCTTATTCTGAGATGAGGTCTTGCTAAGCTGCCCAAGACAGGAACTGGAATGTTTTGGGGTAGGGCCCACTCCTCCCTGTGACCACAGCCTGGCTGACCACAGCCTCGCTGTTCCCCGAGGTTTCCCTCCAACTTCTCCTGGCCCTGAGGCAGCTGAGACTGTGATGCCACATTCGATGGATGAGTAATCCTCCTGGACTCTCCCTGGAAGCCATGTCCTGTCCCCCTGCCATCCCTTTCAGGCCCCTTGCCCCTGCTTTCCTAGGCTCTGAAGCTCCAGTGACTGGTGTTAGCAGAAGAGGGGACCTTTGGTCTAGGACAGGCTGGGTGGGCAGTGGGAATAGGGAGTCGTGGTTTCCCAAAGCAGGCCACAGTCAGGGCCCAGGAGAATGACATCTTGAAGCAAGGAAAGAGTGTGTGGCATTAAAGCGACTGCAGGGTCTGAGGAATCCCAGGGCCTGTGAGAGGGCGTTGGAATACCAGGCTTCAAATAGGCCTGTTTTCAGCAGGGAGACATAACCAACAGGTCCCTGTTCACTGCCAAAGGGGTGGTCTCAGAATGGTTTGGGAGCAACTGACTGAGAATATAAGGCTGGAGTGAGGCAGTGTCATTGGGTCCCCAGGGATGAGTCAGGACGCTTCCCCCTCTCTCTTGGGTCTTGTCCCAGTCTTCGTGACTCAGGACTCGCACTGGATGTTTTAGCTGCCCTGAAGTCAGCGTCCTTCCCCACACCCGCCCCATGAGTGTCTTGCAAGCTACAAGGTGGGAATGGTGTTAGAGCAGCGATGCCCGCGCCCTGAGAAGCTCACCAGGCCACAGCAGAGCAGGATAAAGGACAGAGTTCAGGGTGAAGCTCGTGACAAAGGCAGAGTTCCCGCGCTGGGTGGCTTCCTCCTGCAGCAGCGGCAGGTGCAAACTGCCTGTGCACAGCCCTGGGGTGTGTCTCTGCGGCAGGGGGTTAGATGCTCTGCCCCTGCCTCTTGGATCCCCGTCACCTCCTCCCTCTGTTGCTCCCGTCACTGGGGAGCAGGGCCTGCACCCATCAAGGCCCACCCTGGGGTCTTCTGTCATCTCCTGGGCTGGGCCATTGTCCCTGGGAATGGTGGGTGGGGCAGCCCAGCAGCTTTGGCTTTGGCCTCCAGACTTCTTCCCTCTCAAGAGCCCATGTGCTCTTTCCCCTACTTCCATTCCATGGCATTCGGGCCAGAAGCTTCTAGAACCTTCCCAACCTCAGATGTTCCTTCCGGTCATCATAAGAAGTGGGCCAGGACCAGGCAGGAAGAGATGTTGCCCCTTCTCTTTGTGTCCCCAGCTCATGTGAAATGTCATCACCCCTGCTCTCCCTGGCTGTCCCCTGGGCAGGAAGACAGCTGTCCCTTTGAGTCCCAAAAGCTCTGCCTGCCGCAGGCTTCCTGAGTCCCCTGTGTGGTCCCTTCAGCTGCCTTTCTCAGGCCAGGACCACCACAGGGGCTCATTCCTGCCTGAAGGGCCAGTGCTGTGATGGAGCAAGGAGGCTGGGATGGGGTACCTCAGTCACAAGCAGGTCTATCCGGGGTTCCGCCTCCTTCCTCAGTGTGTCATCTACAACATATTGAGCCCTGGCCTGAAACAGGTACTGCGCTAAGCACTCAGTGCCACTCGTGTTTCTTAGTTCTGACAACTCCGAGAGGCTGATGTCACAATCCCATGATGCTGGTGTGAAAATGAGCTGGAGAAAGGTGAGGAGCTGCGGCCCCTCTGACTGGCCACCTTGCCTGCCCCTCCCTCCCTCCCACAGGCAGGTGACCAAGGCCGAGGGAGCAGCCCTGGCCGGCAGGTTCGGCTGCCTCTTCTTCGAGGTCTCCAATTCCATGAAGAACATTTAAGGAAGGGTTTTCAACACTGTTCAACATAAACTATAACAGAACTGTGTGGAATCTCCAGAACTAAAATTACTTAGAGACCTGGAAGTGCAGTGGATTAATCCCTGGGTTACACAGCGCAAATGACAACTGTGCTCTCTACAAAACCCACAGCTCTACGTCCCTGATCTTTTAGGCAGTGTCAGGCACCTGTGCTGCTGCAGTATGGACACAACACACCACTATGGCTTTCACTTAGTCCTTCTGTTTTATTCAAATGGCAACACTTAAGTTCCAAGATACAAATGGTACTTATACTCAGTTGTATTTGATTTAGAAACATTAATTATGCTTTGTTAACAACTTCCAAAACCAACGTAAGTTGCCGTGACTAAAATGTCTTGCAGTCTGTCTCTGGAATTTTTCCTTTAGTATACTAAAAGTACTCCAATTTTCACTCTACAAAAAGGAAAATGATGCTGTCAGAGAAAGATAATGAATAAAGTTGTAACATGAAAAGGCTTCAAGAGGACAACATGAGCCATTACTAGGGACCATAAAGTCTGTATCTGTTCCAAGATTAAAAATGCAATTGTGGTTCTACTCCAGCTATAAATAGGTAATTTTCATCTCATTCATTATAACTAGCATAGTCCAACTTCTAACAGGATTTAGAATTTGTTAATAGTTTAAGATTTGCTTCCCAAGAAAAACTGGGTAAAACAAATCAAGACTCTAGAAGCTGAAAAACTGGAAACATACTTAAAGATACTCTGACTTTAAAAATTTCAAATGAGTCTGGGGCTGGGGATTTAGCTCAGCGGCATAAGCACCTGCCTTGCAAGCAGGCAGTCATGAGTTCGATCCCCAGTACCGATAAAAACAAAAAAGACAAAAAAAAAAATTTCAAATGAGTCTGAAATGAACAATACAGAAATTTGTATTATTATGGAACGAAAGGCAAAAATGCTTAAAATACCCAAATAGTTTAATATTTATGGAATCAAATGATAGGATGTTCACTTGATAAGTCAATCCCCCAATCTTTAATATTGCTATATAACAAGGATTAGTAAGTTATAAGTGAGTGGGAGCATATTCCCTTTGGCTGAGAGCAGCAGATTTTCTTTGTTCTATAAAGTCAAAGAATTAGATGTCTAGCACTGAACAACAAAACAAAAAACCAAGCTCTGTACTTTTACAAAGTGCCAAAAATCTTCAAAAGAACTTTATGGAACTTTCCCATGACATTTTAAACTATTTGGAAACAACGTGGTCCAATTTTTAAGATAAATAAAAGTCTAATACTTTAGGGAAATGAATGTGGGTAGAAAATAGGTACAGAATGGCATGCTAGGCCAGGTGTGGTGGTGCACACCTACAATCCCAGCACTCAAGAGCCTAGGCAACAACTTCAGTTTGAGGCCAACCTACGCTATAGTGAGCTCAAGGCCAGTATACTCTGCATAGTGAAACCCTGCCCCTGCCAAAAAGAATGGTATCCCAATGTTCAATTGAAAAGACTTTATTTTCCCATTTGTAGAGTAACGTTATTGTAAAATCCAGTTATTATAACACTTGCGTTGCTTATAAGAACTCCTAAGAATTTTGTTAAAGCATATTTTTTAAAAAACGGAACCAAAATAATGTACATTTTATCTCTAAACATCATGTCATTAAAGTCCACATAATGTCCTCTGTATAAATCAGTGTGATGTTACAACAGTATACATGATCTGATTCATATCCTAACGGCTTCTGACCATGTACAGATATTCCAGATCGACTCAATGCCTTTAATGTCAGACTGTAGAAGCAGTTATGATCCTAAACAAGAGCGGGAGGAACTTTATATACAAGACAGGCATCGGAGTGCTTAGCTGTTTGCAGCGTCTGCTTGGCGAGGCCACCCTTCTTCCTCCACCCCAGAGTCATATTCCTCTTCAGAGGATTCTTTTGCTGGAGCCCTAAATAAGAGAAGCCAGTGTTCATTTTTTAAATAAAAATTGGAGGTTAACATATTTCTAGACTCAAAACAATAGAAAAATACTGAGAGCACATTTAACAATAAAAGTATTAGTGGTGAAATCTGGAAAACAAACCTCCCAACAGAGTTGCAGGCAGATTTCTCAGCATTTTCCCTAACAGATTTGTTAGGGCATGAACACAACTTACAGGCCAAACCCAGCCTACTATCTATTTTTGTAAATAAAGACCTCCTGGAATAAAGACATATTTGTTCATTTACACATTGTCCATAGCTGCTTTTTGCACTATACAGAAAGTTTTGAGTAGCTGCACTGGAGTAGCTGGCCCTAAAGTAATTAGCTCTTCTTGGTTTTTTTGGTATCAGGCATCAAACTCATGACCTTGTGCTTGCCAGGCAGGCGCTTAGGCCACTGAGCTAAATCCCAGGCCTAAGTAATTAGCTCTTTAGGAGAAAAGAGGCTGATTCCGGACAAGGTAAGCAAAGCAGTAGGTGTGCTGAACCTGTAGACTGGTATAAACTATTGAGTAACTATGGAAACAACATTTTGTATTTATGAAAGACACTGAGAAAAACTCATGAGATTAATTTTAGTGTCTTAACTTTTACTACTTTTATGTCACTTTGGATACTTTTTCCTTAGAGGAAAAAAGCTGGAGACTAGTTCTGAAGATAAGTTTTCACAAATCATAAAATATTATTCTATGAACCAAATTAGATTTTTCCATAGAAAACTCATGCAATTTTTACTTCTTTTACAAATATAAGGGTTACCATGCAATTTTAAAAAACATTTATTTTACTATGCAATTTTTAGGAGCCTACTTAAACAACAACGATCTTAAATTTTAGATCTGTTCTGGGTGGAAAATACATTACCGAATGTATCCTGGTTCTTTTTTTCCTTCTACTACTTCTTTGTCAACCTCCACACATATAATATCAGAGTTAGGGACTTCGAACATCGGTTCCAATAACAGCTTTTCCTAAAGAGATTTTAAAAAGTAATGAATTACATGGAAAAGAGATTTTAATATTTTTTTAAATAACAGAGGCTCTATCACTAAGTAACACTCACGCCTTTATTTTTTTATTTTGCAACGAGCTTGCTAAGTTACACAGACTTGCCTAGATATCACTATCTTTCTGCCTCAGCCTCCTGAGTATTTGGGATTTTAGGTGTGCACTACTGCCCCGGCATCAAATACTTTTGTCCTATGATTAGGTTTTTTCTTTTCTTTTTTTTGGTACAGGAGATTGAACTCATGACCTCACACTTGCCAGGCAGGCACTTATGCCACTGAGCTAAATCCCTAACCCTAATACTTCTATTCTATCGGCCAAGTAAATCCATTCACTCAAGGAATATAAATTCTCTATAACTGAAAATTGAAATAGATGAAAATTCTTCATAGTCTTTGTATTTCAACAGTTTCTAACTAAATTCAGCGAAGTTATTTTATAAACAAACTATCAGTTTGGATTCTACTTATTTCAGCCAATATGCATATACAAAAGCCTACACTGGTGATGCATACCTGTAATCCCAAAACTGAGAGACTGAGGCAGGAGTATACGGCCAGTTTTAGGACGATCTGGGCTACATAGCAAGGCCCTATCTTAAAAAAAAAAAGACTATAGGTTGAGACTCAGATGCTACTTAGTGGCACTTTTGAATTACTCTATGACTAAGGGACTGTTCAACTGCCATTCCTTAGTTTAACGAGTTATACTCTCTCTAAAGAAAAATGATTATATCAAATTTAACTTAAATGTCAGCTATTATTACTCATTCTTCTAGTTTGCACGCTTATAAATATAGTTTACAGGGGCTGGGGATTTAGCTCAGCGGCATAAGCGCCTGCCTTGCAAGCAGGCAGTCATGAGTTCGATCCCCGGTACCGGTAAAAACGAAAAAGACAAAAAAATAAATAAATATAGTTTACATGTTTATACATTCTAGGCTCTCATGAGAGAGTATAATCTCATGTAGTTCCGATCAGAAGCCTACTGAGATGAACAAAATGACAGTAGAGAAATTCTTACAAGAGAACAAAAACATGGGGTTGCTTTAGGAGCCGGTAAATAGATAGTACTTCACTGTACAACCAGACTGGGAAATAGAGGACTTAAAGAGAGTGGGCAGTGGCAGGAAAATAAGCCTGTGTTCCTAAGATCTGCAGCAAAATTAAAAAGTGACTTTATATTATACTGAGAACAAGGATAAAATGCCATGGTATCTATAATCTACTTTCAAACAAATAAAAATGAGGATTTCTACAGGTTTAAGACAGGGCTCGGGCTCAGTCAGAATTCTATGTAGAACCCAAGCATGGCAGCACCCACTTAAACCCCAGCTATGGAAAGGGCTGAGAAAGGACTGCAACTTCAAGGCCACCCTGGGTAATGTACCAAGACTCATGTCAAAATAAAAATTTTAAAGGGTTCTGGGTGTATCTCTGTAGCAGAAGCTTGTCTAGCACATATGATGCCCTAAGTTCAACTCCTAGTACTGCAATAAATAAAAGCCCATGTAGAATCTCCTCAGATTCTTCCCATGATTCTGATTTTCTGTCAGAAGGCACGAATGTCTTCTGATGCAAATACATTCTGGTTCCCTTTTCCCTTTTTAGGTAGTACTAGGGATTAAACCAAGGCATTGTACATGCCAGATACACACTCAGCTCAGAGCTAAATCTCTTCTGTGTCTGTGTTTTTTGGTACTAGGAAATGAACCCTTGTCCTCACAGGCACATAGCATATGCTTAGCCACTGAGCTGCACCCCAAACAAAAAGCATCTTTGTGAAACAAAACAAAATCCACTGTTCCTCTTCCTGCCCACCACACACATTCACCACACACACACACACACACACACACACACACACACACACTGATTCTCTAAATAAATTTCCCAAAGAAACACAGCCCTTTAATATTGTCAAAACTGAAATCAAGAAATAATCCAGTAGTTTTCAGAAAAATGCCAACTTACCATAATGGACCGAAGGCCTCGGGCACCTGTTTTCCGTTCCAGCGCCAATCTAGCTATGGCTTTTAAAGCATCCTCAGTAACATTCAATTCACACTACAAATAGATTAAAAATACATGAGAACTTACCTAATCCTTGATATTTTCCTAACATAATCGTACAGCATTTAATACACTCCCACCAACTTGAACTACGAGTGGTTCCCACTTGACTCTCCTATCAGGCAGCTGGTACCAGCCACTGGTACTGTCCCTTGCCACCCAATGAGACAGTCACACATGTACCACCAGTGGTTCAGAGCAGCCTGGTGGTGAAACATGGGAATTATGGCCTTACTGTTAACATACTAATCTATTACCTATCTATCAGCCTTACTAATTGTCAGTCAATTATAAACTATAGAACTAGACAGAACCAGTGCCCTGACTTCACAGGTGTGCTCCAGGGGCTGAGTAAACTGATTTACTGAAGCTTAGAAACATGGGCAAAGTTGTTATCTTTTCCAGACTAAAACCATGGTGGCAAACAGATGACATACATGGCACAGTGGACATGCAGAACCCTCTTTCCTATGCTGCTACAAGCTGTAGGAGCTATTATTTCTAAACTAAAACCTAAGCACTTTGTAATAAATAAGTGGATTTTGGCTTGCAGTTTGGGCACTCAGTCAATAAAAGGTTCTTCATCGCAGAACTAGGGTATCACTTGAATTTGATTACTAGGAAAAAAATATATACACACATACACATATTATTTCTTTCAACATCTCATACTAGTGAGACAATACAATGTCTACACATGCAAGTGTGATTTATTTATTTACATATGGTCTCTAGGTGCATCCATTTGCCCATATAGTCTCAATTTTATACTTATGGCTGAGTAGCACTCCATTGGGATTACTAGAAAATCTTAATTGGAATCCTGTAACTTTTTTGTGTTTTTGGTGCCAGGGACTAAACCTAGGGACAGTATGTGCTCTACCATTGAGCTACACACTTGGCATATAACTATGTTTTTTTTTGTTGTTTTTTTTTTTTTTTTTTTTTTTTTTTTGGTCTTTTTCCTTTTTATCGGTACCAGGAATCGAACTCACGACTGCCTGCTTGCAAGGCAGGCGCTTATGCCACTGAGCTAAATCCCCAGCCCCTATTATGTTTTAAGAGTGTTACTAACATTCTCCCTCTGTACAAAGGTACACTTTCTGTCTAAATTACAAATTGCAAAACAGAAGTCAAACAGTGAGGTAATTATTTCTCATGGTGTTTTAGAACCTTGTCTTTCAAGAAATACTTGTTTTTATCAATTAGGTGACAATGCTGCCAGTATTATGAAATCACAAGTCTGTTGTTAATCTTTGAATTCTAGATTGACATGGTTTTCTAGATTGACATGGATTTTCCAGGACTCTTTCAACACTTGCTGAGCCCCTAATATTTATAGTACATGCACATGACACACTAAGGGATCACCAATGTGGGAGCATCTCTAAGTAAGGGTAATAGATCACAGCAGGATTTGAAGCAAGGAATAAAATAACTAGCCTGTGTTTACTCACTCGATCAATATTAAAAACTCAGTATCTATCTGCAGGGCACCATGCTAAATAATTATCAATAACTTCTGGAAGTGGAAGACAGTACCTCTCAGAGTCTGGAGATGGGGGCGGGTGTATGCGTGTGTGTGCGCCAAGCATGTGGCCCAATCAGGAGCCAGACTGGTGAGTCACAGTGAACACAGTAGAGGGGCTTCACTTCAGGCAGTGGCAACAGAGAGGAGGAATGATGAGACACTGGGTTCAGAAACCTCAGCCTTATGTTGCTGAATGGGTGTGTGAGCTACAGTGATCTCTGGATGTCTGCTACAGGGATATAAACATGCGAGCTACAAAAGGTTTTCTTTGACAATAGTATACACAGTATGTCACAAAAAAAAGCATTTAGAGTAAGTAACAAGGCTGAAAGAACCACCTTATGTACTTGGCGTAGAGGGGCTGAGGTAGGTTAATGACATCATTTCTCCATGTAGCCTTGGACTTTATAATGATTTTAATTCAGGAAAGATAAAACCAACTCCTAGTATCTAACATGATACCATGGAATGTGTATCCTTGGATTCCTAGATCCACACTTAGTGAGGAATGGGCAGAATCTCTTGTTAATCTGTTAGGTTTATGTAGAATTTCACTGGCAAGAAAATAATAAATTACAAAAATAGTAATAATTATGAAAATAATAAACTTTAAAAAATAAAAATCTAACCTTATCCATGCTGAATAAAGCCTGGTATTGAGGAATTACAGCATTCCGGGGCTCAGTTAGTATTTGTACAAGTGTTTTCTCACTCAGGCTATGCAAAGGAACCACCACAGGCAACCGTCCCACAAACTCAGGAATCATGCCAAACTCAATAAGATCTCTGGCTTCCACATGACGTAGTAATCGATCTTTTTCTTCAATGTCTTGGTGAGTGTTTGACTCCCCACTTCTGTTAGCAAGGTCTGCAGCAGCTGCAGCCCTTCTGCCTTTTCCCAGGTTGGATGGTGTTCCAAACCCCAGATACTGCCAAAGAAATGACGCATATTATAAACAGAATAAAGTTAAACTGCATTAAGTACTTAACATGCTTTTACAACAACTCTATAAGGAAAATTCTGATATATTCATGTTTTACAAAGGTATAACATAAGTTTATGGAGGTTAAATACTGTGATCAAACAAACAAAAAATACTGTGACCAAGGCCTTATAACTCTAAGTGGCAAAGCCACAATTTCAACCCATGTTTGCCTGCCTTCAGAACTGAGAACCACTACATGGTAACTGACTCTCATGGAATGAATTCTAGTAAAAACAGGTAAGAACTAGAAAAGGAAGTCCCTTAGAACTCATACAATGATTTTGCAGGGTTTATCCAAGACTTCTGGTCAAGTATGATTTCTAAAAGATGTAAGAAGTATGAAATGAAAGTAATTTTTTCAAAACCAAAATTAATTTTGTAGTACTGTTAAAATAGATAATGCCTATGGAATAAACAGTCTTATAGAAAATCCACAATTCATGATTTAGGGCTGTATACATCAACCTGTGAATTATAATAATTCATATTTTTATAAGAAACATATAAGGATGACAGAAAATAATGCTAACTTTGCTGGAAAAGGTGAAGTACTTAAAGGTATATGTGGCTTGCTACAGTGAATATAAGAGATCTATATTCTAGTCAGTAATGAAAGATCTGATTTTGGTGTGTCATGCAGCTTTCATCAGAAGTACAAGAAGCAGGGCATAGTGGTGCACACTCATAACCACAGCACTCAGGAGGCTGAGGCAGGAAGATCACCATAAATTCAAGGCCAGCCTGGGCTACATAGTGAGTTCAAGACCACCCTGAACTACAAAGAAAGACTGTCTCAAAAAACAAAACAAAGAACAAGAAAAGCACATGTTATATGAGAACACAGTCTAAACTCTAAACTAAAAATGGTTTGCACTGCACTGAATGTTTGTGCCTCTCAGAAATTCATCTGTTGAAATTCTCTTACTGGTATGGAATGGTATGCTTTTAGGTATTAGTCATATAGGTAATGGTATTGAGAGACAAGCTCTTTGGGAAGTGAGTAAGTCATAAACCAACAGGATCAGTGCTCTTATGAACAGACCCCTGAGGGATGCCTTGCCTTTCCTCCATATGCAGTTATAGTGAGAAGATAACCACTGTGAGGACACAGGTCTTCATCAGACGTGGATTTGCTGGTGCCTTGATCTTTGATTTTTCAGGCTCCATAAATGTAAGATATAATTTTAAGACATAATTTCTCATGTTCATAAGCCACCTAATCTATGGTATTTTATTACAGCAGCTTGAGCAAATTGAGACACTATTCCTCTAATTTTCTAAGGAATAGTGCACGGGGGCAGCCAGTGCATCAGGAAGCACAATATCTCTCTTTCAAGAATTTAAAAATTTAATAAAACTTACTATCTATAGAACTAAGTATATATACACATTTACTTTATATAAGTAAATATTAATACTTATTAAACAGTATAAAAACTGAGGTGATACACCTGAAGATGCTTTTACCTACAGGGGTTATTTAGATGGAGAACACATGAGGACAGTACAGTGACCCGGGCACAAGGTCAGTGACTGTTCAGGCTCTGTGGCAATGGAAAAGAAGATCATGTACTGGGGTAAAGTCCACACACTGGGCAAAGTGACTGAGAAAACCTTCATGGAGGAATCACCTGAGCATTTAACAACCTAAGTCCTTACAATATAAAACAGGTATTTACTGATTGAAATTGAGCTAGGAAAAGTCATAAGAAAGAGGAATAACAGAACTGTAAACAAATTCATGTTTCATATAGGTCTATATTTAATATTGTATTCTCGGGCCCTAATGAACAGGGCAGGAGTACATTCTTCAATGTCTTGGCCTTGAACAGAATTTTATTGATACAGCAATGGCCTCAAGAAATAAGACCCTTAGATAAAACATAAAATTGAGCTCATCCATTCCTATTTTTTAAATGCCCAGGCACTGGGGATACAGCTCAGTGACACAGCGTCTGCCTGAAAACATGAGGTTGTGAGTTTGGTTCTAGGTACAAAAAATAAAACAATAAAATGCCTATACATCAATGCTACTTTGAAATCCTCTAATTTACTAGTCTAAAATTAAAACAACTAGAAATACATTTCTGATGTGCTCTAAAATTCAATGACTGACAGCCACCAGACATGGAAGCAAAAACTGAGCACCCAACCTCTGTAACTCTTTAAGTGTTCTGAGTAATACCTCAGAAAAACTTACCTTTTCATTTTTTCTCCTGCTGATGATTCTGTCTAAACCATTGAAAGCACCGGATGCCACAAATAGGACGTTTGTTGTGTCAACTTGAACTGTTTCTCCACGCAGTTTTCGGGAATTCTTCTCTGGAACATTGACTATTGTGCCTTCTAGAAGTTTTAGTAAGCCCTAAATAAAGAATGAATGGTTTATAGTTTTATCATATTTAAGTATAATATTATACGTTAGACAATGGGATTCAATGAGGAAAATAATATGTGGTTGTGGTTATGGTCAATGAGCTTAACTAATGAAAAATCCCACATTCCTACAACTAACGTGAAAATCGAGTGCCCTTATCACATTTTAATAATTCATAAACTTATCTGAAGTGGTTACAGGACTCCAAATAAACTGTATTCAGAAAGAGGCATTCTAAGAAGTGGCTTTTGATAGTGAAGTCATAACTCTGACATAAAGACTGAATTATGCTTTCCAAACATAGTAGGAACATTCACAATTTGAAAATAATTGAAGCAGGGGGCTGGGGATTTAGCTCAGCGGCATAAGCCCCTGCCTCGCAAGCAGGCAGTTATGAGTTCGATCCCTGGTACTGACAAAAACAAAAAAAAGACAAAAAAAAAAAAAAAAAAGAAAAGAAAATAATTGAAGCTTTTATTTTCCACATAAATAAAAATTCTACTCTGCTTCTAGTGTTGTGTTAAACTTTGAGAATTATCTACATTTTACAATGCCCCCATAAAAAACATTTAGAGGGAGAACACATTCATGAGAGCAGATGTACTTCTGTACGTCCGTCAAAAAAGACAACACAATTTTCTTCACCCATTAGCTTATTTCATTGGTTACTGTTAAAAGGTTAAGTTGTTTAGCAGATCATTATGATTTTCATTAAGACTCCGCAAAGAATGAAACTTTATTTTATACCTATATTCTAAGTGGAAAGAGTAAGATGCATGTATAGTTTTATATCTAGTTAGAATCAGAACTTTCTTCGAAAGTCTTCTAGATATTTAATTTTTCCCTTCTAGACATTTTTAACTTGGACTTTGCGGAATAAAAACAACAAAGATTTTTTTTCTGTTCTTCAAAATATTTTCAACTTCCTAAGAAAAGTAATTTGTATTTAAAACCACTAATAACTTTCTTTTTGGATGTGAGCTATTTTAAAATGGTACGTGAAGTTTAGGGTGAGAGAAATAAAACAGAATCTAATTAAAGGTGAAACCAAACGTACAATATTTGGGAGGTTGATGTACTCCCTTCCTTTTAGTGGGCTTGAACAAAATATTCAACTGCTTACTTGCTGAACGCCTTCTCCACCCACATCGCGTAACTGATGGATGCCTGGCACACTGCCAATCTTATCTACTTCATCCAGAAAGACAATTCCTACAATTTAAGGAGGATTCTATTTATAATATGAAAAAGATAAACACAGGACAGGCTCAACTAGACTACACAGCAAAGTTACTCAAGTTTTCATACTAAAAATTGCAATTATTTTGAATTTATTCTACAGACCATTTGAATATGACAAAGGAACGACAACGGGAATGTACCCCATGTTATCATAGAAAGTTCAGATGCAGTGTGGAAGCATGAGGTATGTGCATGGTTGGTACTAGCAAAATATTAGCTTATTGTTTTCCATGCATGCTCGTCTCATAAAGGAATCTGAACAAGAGCTTGAGATCTTCATGTATGTAAGCACCAATGACAAAAGAGAAACAGCACCTATGAGATCCTGTGGGTCAGTCAACAGGCTAAACTGCATCTAGACTCATCCATTCTGTACTCTCCTGCCTTGCCCACGTCCCCACTCAGACCCCAACCCCAGCATTAGGAGACTAGAGGGGAGGGGAATATTAGACTCTTTTTCCAAAAAGACTAAATGTAAGAACAAACAAACTACTCTGACAACATACCTTGCTGTGCTTTTTCTACATTGTAATTGGCATCTTGGAGCAGTTTGGCAATCACAGATTCAATATCTTCACCTACATATCCAGCCTGAGTCAGAGTTGTACAGTCACAGATAGCAAAAGGGACATCAAGGCATTTGGCTAAAGTTTGTGCCAGCAGGGTTTTACCTACAAACAGAAACAGTAACTAAATGTTTAGTAAAAATAAAATGGGCTACAATTTTTTTACAAAAAGGCAAAATAAACTCAGATAGCATATAGTAAAGCTGCTAACTGGTACATTTTCTCTGTCATTCAGATCTGTTTATGTCTCATTATTCCTGTTAAGAAGTCAGGGATTGGTCCGAAGGGCAATGCCAATGCTTCAAAATCAGTTTGAACCCTAAACAGGAATAGTGACAACATATCTAGAAGACATCCTTGGGCTTTCTTAAGAGTTGAAATCCCCCAGTCACAACACACAAGACAGAGAATAACTGATATTCTAATTTTTTTAAATGAGCCATAAAAATCTCCTAAGAAGTTACTGACCTGACCCAGTTGGTCCAAGCAGCAAAATATTACTCTTTTCAAGTTTTATGTCATCATGGGAAGAATCCAATACTTCACCTCCTCGCTTTTCCTGAGGTATTTGCTGGTTCACCTGTTGCTGCACTGATGCTCCTAAAGCATTGCCATGTGGGCTGATTCCAGCAATCTGAAGTAGTTCTGAAAAAACGCAAGGGGACTATGAGAGCTACACTTGAACTTACTTGGAAAATTGCCCCATAGATGCTCAAAGAATCTACTTAGAAAAATGTATTTCAACATTAGGTCTTTTCTAAAGAGAAAGAAAACTTCAAACTATCTAGTGGAAAATGTACAACACACATGGTTATTCAAGGCACCTCAAGAAAAGGATTCTTTTTACCCTTATTTATGTGAACATATAAGACCTGTTACAAGTATAATGGAAGGAGAACAGTGTCAGGAGTTAGACGATCTTAGGGTTATGGCTTCCTTGTCTCTAAAACAGTTAAATGATCTTGGGCAAATCATACAGACTTTATGATTCTGTTTCACACTCTGTAAAACAGCAGTAATACCTGGTATCAATTTCAAAAACATGGTTGGAAGATGCTAAAAAAAAAAAAACTGATTTGGGGCACTTTTTTTTTTTTTCCTTTTCTTTTTGAGACAGGTTTCCTGTGTATTTCTGGCTGGGCTTGAACTCACTTTGTGGCCCAGGCTGGTCTCAAACTCACAGCAATCCTCCTGCATCAGCCTCCTGAGTGCTGGGATTACAGGCTTGTTTTGTTTTATGAATAGTGTCTTGCTATGCAGTCCAGGCTGGTCTCGAACTTCCTATGTAGTCCATGTTTCAGGCTGGCTGCCTAGCTGAGACTCCCAAGTGCTGGGATTACAGCTATTCACCAGCACCTAGCTAATTCAAAGGTACTCTAAAGATTAGACTAAAGGATTTTTGTTTTCAGTATGAATGAAAAAGAGTGTCAAAAAAGTTAAAAACAAAACAAACAAAAAAAAAAAAAACAATGTGCAGAGAATTAGGGAACTTAGTTTCAGTGCTCTTACTTTGTGGTTATAAGGCTATGAAAGTCCTGTAACTGCTTCCTTACCCAGAACATGAAAATACTGAACACAGGACCGTCACAGTATCTTCACATCTAACAGTGATTCAAGTATCAGGCAGGCCAAATATAGCAAATCTCACTCCTCATGGTCCCAATCTGACTCTCTGATTTTACTGAAGTTCAACTGACTCTTTCTAGTTCCTTTAACACAGACACAATGCTTTACTAGGTGGAATATTGCTGGTAAGCTATCAGTTTATCGGGTGTGTACCTACAAAAATGAGTATCTGTGATCATGTTATTTATTTATATCTCCTTCTTCCCTTTCCCCTCCATGGTACTGAAGGTTAAACCCAGCGAATTACAGTGAACTACATCTCTAGTTTTTTCCTTTTTTTTTTTTTTTTGGCAATAGTTCTCACCAACTTACTGAGTTGCCCAGGCCGGGTTCCAACTTGGGATTCTCCAGTCTCAGTCTCCTGAGGAATTACAGGCTTTTGTCTGGCTACTTGGTTTTTTCTAAGTCTTATTTTTAGGTTGTTTCTAAGAAATGGGTCAAGAATATTAGTACTGTTTCGTTTAGCTCCCACCCCCTGGCAGTACTGGGGACTGAGTCCACTGCCTTCATACTCAGCTACAGCCTCCATCTTTTAATTTTTATTTTGAGACAGGGTCTAAGCCACTAAATTGCTCAAGTTGTGTCCAAAATTATGATGCTTCTGCCTCAGTCTCCCAGAATGCTGGGATTACACTCACATGCCACCACACATAGCTACAGAACATTATTCTAATTAAAACAACAGAAAAACAGTTCAGCACATACTTATGATGATCCCATTCTACTTGGCTATAACTTTCAAACCATCTTCCTACTTAAGGTAAAGGGTTATTCTAGCCATCATAAGAGGTTCAGTTAACATTTGAATTTAAGTTGCATGACATTTGAGAGTTAACGATTAGTGTGTAATTCACAATGTTAGGTCTCATTAGAAACCAAATCAGGCAAGAAAATCTGGTCTCTTGTATGAGTTCAATTAAGTTGTCACTAACCAGTGCAGTTTGTTTTTGTTTTTTTAATTTCAGCAAAATCTAATTCAATATTGTAACAATACAGGAAGGGTCTTGGCTTTAGTTTGGCTCTGCCCAATGGGGAAAAAATGACCTAGATAATTTCAACAAAATTAAAAGAAATATACTACTTATAATGGGACTATATGATAAATGTGCAAGTATTTAATTGACTCAAGAGTTACAGTTAAAAAGGAATGGTTTCAGTGGTATGGATGGTAGCTATCATTCCATCATGTCCCTACTCCTACACATCTCTCACTGTAAGCAGCTCTTAAGGAGGAAATCAGCAAGCAGCCTGGCAGTGGTCAGTGGCATGCAGCTTATCTGCTGTGTGGCCACGACAAATTACTTAACATTTCTGCCCTTTGGTTATCTCATCTGTAAAAGGAGGATGAAGAGAACGGTTGCTTTCTCACAGGCTCAGGGTAGATTAAATGATTATATATAAAAAGTACTTAGCACAGTACCTGACAACTTTACTAAGTGGTACAGAAGAATTTGTTCTTATTACTACTATTTTACTAGTGTTTATTCATATGACATAGTTGTTAAAATCAAGGTAAGGATGTCACTTGGTGCTCAACTTAAACTAAAATATGTTCCTGTGAAAGAGAAAAAACAAGTTGTATCAGCCTATGAGTTGTACATTGGTATCTAAGAGGATTTTCAAAGGGACTTAAAAGAGTAATTCTGATTATATATGATTTTGGTCTAATTTTAGAACTTTTATTAAAAACACAGAACACAATTAAACTATACATAATGATAAATTATATGTAAGTTTTTGAAATATTTGTTTTCCAAGTCAATATAATCATAAAGTGCTTTTACCTATGTTCTTTAAAACTGTTACTTGTCAACATTTAAATTACATCAAAACCAACCAAATAAATAAATAAATAAATTGCATTAATTTGTTACAAGCATTGTATGATAGGTCTTTCAAAATACTCACTATATACTTTCTTTACTACACATGCTAGTTTCAGTCCAGTTCAGTATAATACTAAGTAAGTATTTGATATTTTTGGTTTATGAAATATAAATTATGCATTCACCTAAAGTTTATTATTTATATCTTACATATATTCTAGTTCTATTACACTGATTATATTGTTAAATTTTACCATGCATGGTATTTCCATAAATTAAAAATAACCAGGGGCAATGTAATTTTCTTACATATCATAAAAGTCATGGTTATCCAGTCATCTGCCACAACTCACAGTGTATGTAGTACACTTCAAGCAGTAGAAATGTAATACTGCTTACGTATGAAACTTAACCAAATTTCCTTTGTTGTTTAATACAACCAATAGCCACGAGAATCTTATCATGATAGCTCTGGAATATTTGCCTCTGTGCAACAACTATATCTACCTCCAAAGGGTGCAAGACGTCTGAAGGGGCTCTCTCCTTGGTGTACCAGGTCCTTCCACACCCTCCATCATAACATTTGATGCTTATAGGGGAAATCAAGGGCTGGAGACAGTGAATGGAGCTTATTCATAATTTGTAAGACTATATAATAAATTTCAGAAATACCAAAAATAAACAGTATAGTTTCTGCAGAGTAGTTAGAAGATAATCTGCCTCCCCCAAAGCTGTAATCACAGTAGGCCAACTCTATGATCTGGCAAAAAAAAGAAAAAAAAGAAAGAAAGCTAGATAGGTAGGTAAATATAGACTAGTAAACTACATATTTTTTAAAATACAATTTCTGTATTATGTTTATAGGGGAAAACTATGTATTTCTCCAAGTTATACTTTTAGAACTGTCACAATCAGGAGCACTAACAGCTACTTGGGAGACTGAAACAATATTTCTACTTTCAGTCCAGCCTGGGCAACTTAGCAAGACCCTGTCTCAAAAAAAAAAAAAAATTAAGAAGGGCTAAGGATGTAGCTCAGTGGCCAAGTGCCTCTGGGTTGTATAGTTGAGACAATGGTAAACTGAATTTAAAAAATTTTTTAAAAATTAAAAAACAAAAAAAATTAAAAAAACAAAAATTAGCACTAAAAGCTGCTCACACGTTATATATACCATAAATGATAAATTTATATACCATGTGTGAATAAAACACACTTACTGGGTAATACACATGCAAATACATGTATATCTTTACTCCTGCTAAGACACCCTGCTGAGGTAAATCTCAATAGGAAGGAAGACTACAGAGGACTGCTAAGGAAAGATTACTCACTTGTGAATCTGTACTCATCCTCCCGTCTTCTTATTTCTAACTCTAAAAGGAAAACAAAAAAAATGGCAACATGAAAATATGACGTATTTGTTGAGTTTGGGGAAACAATGAATATCCCACTTCCTGCCTTCTAAATAGATTTACGATAGTTTCTTGTTACCACTATTTTTCAGTTATTCCCATTATGAAAGAATTTATACACTACATCCTTTCTATATAAAACAAAACAAAACCAGGCTAATGACGGCTGTTCAACTGCTAATATTCATGTTTGATAGAGGGAAAAAATTGCTATTTTAAGAAAACAGTATCATTTGTCTTATAAAAATTATATATAAATATCATATTTATTCTTTTAGCACCTAGAGCAACTTCAATACTGATTAGTACACTTGATCTTAGCCAAAAGCCTGCAAAGTGATCAACACTGATTGAAGAAACCATGGAAATAATTTGCTCCATGACTAGACAGTGCTATCTGGATCTTATAAAAACTGAAGCCCTGGTCAGGTGTGGTGGTGCACAGCTGTAATCCCATCAGTAAGGAAGCTGAGGTGGGAGAATTTAAATGTTTGGTAGAACTTCAAAATAAAAACATAAATGTTTACAATGTTACTCTACTCATAATCATTTAATAAAGTCATTTCTATAATTCATATGTTATATACACTGAGATTACACAGTATTTGGGTATATTAGAATCTAACTTTAATCACGTATCAATCTGCCCTTACCCTTGCTCTCTGTCCCTGGGAAACAGAAAAGAAAGAGTGCTGGGTATGCTGTATTAACAGCTATCATCTCCACCTACCTGACTTAGGCAAATGAAATTCTATATCCCAAACCCAAGAACTCAGAGACATAAATAGTAAATCCATGGTAAACTAGTGGTGAACTCTATAATTCAAAGACAAAAACTCAAACTCCACACTAGTGGCCTTCAATTTGCTTTTTATTTGATTGTTTTTGTGGTGACAGGGATCAAACCCAGGGCCCTGCACATGCTAGGCAGTTACTCTACTGCTAAGTTAAAAACTCCAGCCTCTTTCAAACACTGTTTACTGACAGCCTCAATAAGAAATATATTCTGTTTAATGATGTAGAACCCAGGTACATGTAACTTTCTGCAAGCAAAAATTTTAACAACACCTACCTTACCTACAAGTTAATGTACTCTAGCAGTTTCTATGCACATCTATTACATTTTTTAAAATGCTACCAGCAATGTGCCAATGTCATGCCCTACAAAGGAAAAGTGATCACACTTTGAGAAATGCTGGCCTGTATCAAATGCATTTTAAGACTAAAGCAAGCAGTCAAAAATGAAGATTACTTCTCAGCACAGAAATCTCTATTCTGGTCAATTGTCAAAAACACTAACCTCTAGGTGTCAAAGATGTCTGCTTCTCAACTTCTGCTTGCTGCCTCAGGTTAGCTGGGATATTATTATATATTCTCTTATAATGGTTATACACAGCGACTGAAAGCACCTTCTTAGCAAATGACTGGCCAACCACATACTTGTCGAGGTAGTTATAAATCTGAAAAATGATTAGTTATGACTGATTTACCATAAGCTTTATCATAAACCCACACATTACCAGGTTATACACTCAGCACTTCTGCCCTCAAAAATGAAGCACCGCTGGACATAGGGGTACACCTCATCATCCCAGCACGGGGGACAGCGAGGCAGGAAGATCGAGAGTTCAAGGTCAACTTGGGCTATAAAGCAACACCCTCTCTAAATACATAAGCACATACCTAAGCAAATATCTACATAAGCCAAAGGAAGAATACGTTATGTAGCAGTGATTCAAACATCATAAACTATAACTAAATGAACAAAACACAATTGGTGTTTTAATAAAACACTATTTCTGTGAGTGTTACGCTAGTTTCTAATGTATAAATAATGCCATCAATTCTAATTTTTTTACATAAATTAACAGTAAATTTTTGTGGAATACTTACCCCTGTCACCAAAGATCTAAACATAACATCAGTAATGTAAGTAATTAAAATATATCCTGTCTAGCCAGAAGTATTACTCAGTGGCACAAGTGCCTGCCTGGTATGCACAAGGTCTTGAGTTTGATTCCTCTACCAAAATAAATAAATAAACTATATTCTTTTTATATTTCTCCCCACTTAATATCTTTCACCAAGATTATAAAATTACCTTTTTCATATATAATCAAAAGCCATTATCCTATCAGTATCCATTATGTGTTAACACTCACAAACATTTAGATTTTTCTCCATTAACCCCCCCACTCCCAGCATGAGTGACTGAACCCAAGGTCTCAAGCTCTCTGGGCAAGTGCTCGGCCATGGAGGTACATCTCTAAACCCTTTCATTTCATTTAGAGACATGAGTCTGCTGAATTGGCCAGGTTCCAAACCTTCTGTCTCACCCTCCAGAGTAGCTGGGAATTACAGAAGTGTACCACACACCTGGCTTTCCAATATTAATATTAATATAATTAATTAACATAAAGGCTAACCTAAAAGATTTATTTTTATCTTTATTCTATACTTGCTTATTGCCAATACCTTTGGACAGAGTGAATTCTTTTAGTTTTTTTTACTAAATAAAAATGAACTTTTATCTGGACATAGTGATTTATGTCTCCTACCTACTTTGGAGGCTGAGGCAAGAGGATGGCAAGTTTATTAAGGCCAACCTTGAGAAACTACTGAGACCTTGTCTCAAATTTATTTATTCTTTTGTTTTTTCAAGACAAGATCTTGCTATATGGTTCAGGCTGGCCTTGAACTATGGAGCCTCGGTTTGTCCCTGAACTTGTGATCCCCCTGCCTCAGCCTCCCCAGTGCTAAGGCAGCTGTTTCAAATTTAAAAGTACCAGTTGGTAAGTACCACTAGGGAAAAAAAACTTTAATACGTACCAACACCTGAAAAGAATCTGTCTTTTATACAAATATCTTTTTATCTTTTATGTCTAAAACTTTATACAGATGTCTAATTACCATATATATTTTTAAATCTGTATCTTTATTTCTTTTTTTTCTATCTTTCAATAAAATGGATTTTAAAAAAAAATTGAAAAAAAAATTGCTGTATTTTCTATTACATTATTTTTACATGACAAATTCTTTCAGTTGTTGAACAATTTATTATGGCTTTTTCAAATCTCATTCATTCCTCACAGGTTATGCCTATAAATTATCAAACCTGCCACAGCACATGTAGACAGAGACAAAAGCCCTGTTATCTAAGCACAGAACCAGAAGGAAGATACACTGAAGCATGAAGTGGGAAATAATTCCGTGAGCAGCATCTGAGACACATCCAGGAGGTAAGCGCTTCTGGCTCCAAATGTGCTGACCACACGCCAAGGAGCCAGGGTGCGTTCTCTGCCAGATTTCACAGGACCACAGCACACACTGCCTGAAATGCATGGCGGACGCCCCAAAAGAGCCACAGCGACACACGGTACCCGCTTTAGCATGCTGAGCCTGTCCAAAAAACACTTGCTAATACGTTAAAGCTCAGAACTGTTTTACCATAAAGTAGATTAATTTAAGGGTGATTGTTGCAGGCTGATGCTCTTTAGGGCCCCAAACAAAAGTCAACAGCTGAACTATACAAGAGTAGTATTTCAAATTAACTTGGTACTAATACTATTTTAATAATCACCCAACTACCCAGACATGCTAGGAGACTCCTGTAATACCTGCACTGAGGGAGGCTGAGGCAGGAAGATCACAAATGCTGAGTAGCCTGGTGGAATACTATCTCAAAACAAAAAATGGGCTGGGGATATGGCTAGATTTCATCCCCCATACCACTACACCCACCACCACCACCACCAACCACAAAATCCAACTACATTCCACTGATACTAAATATAATAATTTTGACAAGGGGAAAGCAACGTATGAAATATCATTAACATTTTTTCAGATATATAGTAGTGTATTAACTTACAATATTTATTAGTAAAAGTATTAGATACTCATGGTAGGGAAGCAAAGGAGGGTTTTCAAGACAGAACAGCTGTGAGACTGAGCTGAGGCCTGTACCTTTTTGGGAGGAGGAGGTGGTTTTTGCTGGAATGCCAACTTTATAGCTTCTGCTGCTGATTCAGGCTCCTTGACTATGCTTTTCTTTGAGTCAGCTTCAGATAGCACAACAAAAAAGTGATGGCATTTTTCACACTTGACAAAACGGGTAGATGCTGAAAAGGAAAACAGAGGTCAGCAGAGGATAATAAAGAAAATTCCAATGATGTTTATAAACTTGAAGACTCACCATAAGTGAAAAGTTATACATTAACATAAAAGGTTTGCAATTCACTCTATGAACCATGAAAATGGCCTGGTTTACACACTAAATATATTACAAAGATAGATCCACTCAATAAACTACCTGTTTATTTCTATAGGCTTTTTTCTTTCTTTCTTCCTTTCCTTTCCTTTTTCCTTTGTTTTTAGCAAACTGGTCTCAAACTCAGGGATGCTCCTGCCTCAGTCTCCTGAGCTCTGGGATTCCCCCATGGTCCACCACATCAAGTTAGGTTTCCTTTCATTTTATGACATACTTCATTAAGACTGACTGAGATTCTTTCATCCACTGAAGATATTTTTTTGTTTTGTTTTGTTTTGTCTTTTTGAGACAGGGTCTCACTATGCAGTTCAAGCTGGCTTTGATGCAGTTCAGGCTGGCCTTGAGCTCCCTAGTCCAGGCTGGTCTTGAATTTGCAAGGATTCTCCTGCTTCAGCCACCTGAGTGCTGGGACTATAGGTATACACCACTGCACCTGGCTTGAAGATAAGTTTTTTAAAAAACATTTTGAAAATATCTAAAAATCTTTTATAGGAATACTTGCATAAACCATGAAAAAAGTACAAGTAGATTAACTCATTTTCCAACATCTTACTATGAAAACTTTCAAACATATAAGAAAATTGAGAGACCTAAATCTGTTTTAATCCCTGAAGAAGCATATTCCCTGAAAAGGGAAGCATAATCCCTAAAAGCATATTCTTTAGGTTCTCTCATATATGAGCATTTTTACCAAACCTGGACTACAAAATGAAAACCCATGTCAAAACAAAACAAAAAAAACAGAAAAAAATTCCTGTAGCCAAATTCTAGCAGTACACTTTAAACTATAGTGGGCTCGTACATGTGTTCTAACCACTGATCAACTATAAATGTTTGTCTACCATCCAAGTGTAGTGGTGATGCTTGTAATCCAGCACTCAAGAGGATAAGGCAGGAGGAATAGAGGTTCAAGTCAAGCTAGGATAAATAGCTAGTTCAAGACCAGCCTGCACTACATAGCAAGATGTCTCAAAAAAAAACAAAAAAAGAGAAGCCTCAAGCCATTCCATGAACCCTCAGCACAAGCCCAAGTAAATAATCACCATTCCCATCAATGGAAAGATAAGGAATGCCTCTATTCTATAATGAGGCACCAGTTTATTTACAACTGCAACAGATGGTAAACAGGGCAAAGGATTAAAGGGCAGAGACGTCTCCAATCCAGTTCCAGCTGTGTGACAGGAAAATCTGGCCTGAGAGCCTATAAACAAAATATTTCTCTCAAGAAATTAGGTCAAAGGGGATGCGATTAAATACTAACCTACCATACCCTCTTTGTTTACTGCTGACGGTTTGCTTAACACAGTATGTACAATTTTACAGTGAAATATGTGCAACATATACCCAAATTCGAGGATTCAAATTTTGAGAAAAATTTATAGGCATTACAAGCATTATTAGGAGTATTATTCACTCCTAAAAACAAGAGGCAGAATTCTAAGTTTTCTCAATTATGAGTGGATATTTTTTCTTTTAAAGACTTAGTACAAGTGTGGCACTATCTTTTATACAGTAAGACTGTTCCCAGGAAACACACTTGTATAACATGCTACAGATAAGAAAGACTGCCTTAAAGAAAACTTTTTTGGGAGATTTTTCTTACTGGCTTTGCTGTGTTTTGTGGTGCTACGGATCAAATGCACAGTCTCATGAATGTCAGGCAAATACCACTGAGCTATACCCCCACCTAGGCCTAGTATATCTGTTTAAATGAAAGTTCCCCGTGATTCTGAACCCATATCAAAGTAAAAAACAAATTCGCCAAACCACTGTACAGCAAATCCCAAAAATGTATACATAAAATGGTTCTATTTTAAACAAAAGGAGACTTCATGTTTGACAAGTTATTTTTTTTTAAATAGGCAAAAAATACATAAAGAATAGTAAGCAGTATTATTTCTCCTTAACAAGAGCTAGGAATGTTGGCAAATGCTATAATCTGAGTATGCTTGGAGGCTGAAGCAGGAAGATCACAAATTGGAGCCTAGCCTGGCCAACTTTGCAAGAATTTGTCTCAAAATAAAACATTAAAAATAAAACTGGAAGGGAGGGCTAATGGAGATGTAGCTCACTATGAAGACCCCAAGTTCAATCCCCAGTATGGGAGGGGAAAAAAGCTAAGAGTACGTACTGTAATTTTTGAAAACTCACTATATAACTATACTATAATTACTACACTACAACTAACAAGTTTTACTGGAACTCAGACATACACACTCATTCACTAAGGCTGCTTTTGCACTTAATTATAGAGTACAACAGCTGTAACAGAAACTAAATGGCCCACAAGGCCAAAAATATTAACTGTTTGGTATTTTACAATAAAAGTCTGCTGACTCCTGCTATACAACCTTTGAAAGAAAAGAAGTACCCAAGACAGAAAACATTTGCAAATCATGAACTAAACATCCAGAAAACACAAAGAATTCTTCACCTTCACATAAAAAGAGAATCTAGTTTAGAAATAGACAAAAGGAGCTGAAGTGATGGCAGGTGCCCATAACCCCAGCACTTACGAAACTGAGGTAGAAAAATCAGAGCTCCAGGGTAGCCTAGGGTACAAAGTAAAGTTCCCAGCTTGGGCAACATAATCTGATTCTATCAAACAGATGGATGGACGGATGAGTGAATGAATGAATGAATAAGTGATGGAGAGAAAAAGGATTTAAATAGTCATTTCTATCCCAGCACTCAAGAGGCAGAAGCATGAGGATCATTGCAAGTTTAAGACCAACCTGGGCTACAAAAGTGAGCTCAAGGGGCTAGGGATTTAGTTCAGTGGCATAAGCGCCTGCCTTGCAAGCAGGCAGTCGTGAGTTCAATCCCCAGTACCGATAAAAAAAAGAAAAAGACAAAAAAAAAAAAAAAAAAGTGAGCTCAAGGCCAGCCTGAACTGCACAGTGAGACCCTGTCTTAAACAAGACAAAAATAAACTCTTTTGTCCAAAAAGATATACACAAATGGCTAATGAACACACCAAAAAAATGTCAAACATTAATCATCACCAGGGAAATGAAAATTAAAAACACAATGAGGTGTTATTTCACAACCACCATGAGTAAAAAGTAAGTGGTAAAGAGAACAAGGAGAAACTGAAACCCTGCTTTTCTGCTGTTGGGTTGTATAGTACTAAGTACTATAGAAAATGGTCTGGCAGCTCTGTAAGACCTAAAGAGATTTTATGACCCAGAATTTTCATTCCTAAGCAAGGTAGAAACCTATGTCCATATAGAAACTTAAACACAAATGTCCACAGCAGCATTACTCAAAACAGTCAACCAGCAGAAACATGTTGAACAAAACAAACCAGAGATTCAAAAAGAAAAATACCTTATGTTCTCCCTAATATGTAGAATCTAAGCAGAAGAAATGAAAGCAGAAGGGAAGCTGGGGGGTGGCAGAACATACTTGCAATTCTAGCATTATCAGAGGCTAATACAGGAGAATCGCAAGTTTGGGCAACTTAATAAGATCCTGTCTCAAAATGCAAAGGATTAAAAAGGGCTAAGGTGGCACCTGCCTGGGATCCCAGCACTCAGGATGCTGGAGCAGGCACACGGCAAGTTCGAGGTCAGCTTAGACTTCCGAGCAAGTCAGTATCAATGAACCAAAGCAGAAAACGATTTTGTTGAGTAGGATTGAATTTTAGAAACCCACAAACCACTTCCTACCTAAGACGGATTTTCTTCCCTTCGATGCCATCACCCTGAAAAGAGACCCAGTGGGGTGAGGGAACTGGCCACACCGTGCTCTAGCCTGGAAACTGAGGCACCCACTCAAGGACCAGAGTTGAGAGTAGGACTTCTCAAAGCAGAGACAGCCAGGTGAAGAAGACCCTGGGCAGAAACCCATGACCTTCTGTCAAGAGAAAGGCATTGCCAGCACTGAGAACCCTGCTTCCCCGGTCACTCCCATGCTTCTTCCCACTCTTGTAAATGACCTCTTTCTAAATGAAGTTGCTGGGCACATATGTGGCAAAAAATGGGGGCTGAAATCAGGCAGCAGGAAGACCTTTCCAGCTTTAGATCATTACACAATATGCATGTAACATCTAATTTTAAAATAAAGTGCAATCTTAAAAATTGAAAAAAATTTTTAACTGAGGCTATAACCCAGTGTGAAAGTCCTAGACACAAAACTCAGTACCCCCTACATACACCTGACCCCCAAAAACAAAACAAAAGGAAGACTAGTATTAGACAAGAAGGAATAAAGGAGAAGAGGAAGGAGGAAGGGAGGGGTTGTAAGAAAGGGTAACATGGAGAGACAGACATAATCAAAATAATATGAATCACACTGAAACCCAACATTTTGTAACACTTGTAAGTATCTTAGAAAAGGGAAAAAAGAAAAAAATGCCACTTATTATACACTCTTACTATAGGAAATATCCAAAATAGGCAAATCCATAGAGACAGAAACTAGATTAACAGCTGTTAGGGCTAGGTGGGGAAAACAGTGAAGTGACTGCCAAGGGCTATGAGGTTTCTTTTGGGCTGATGAAAAGGTTCCACAGTGAGAGGAAGCCAGAGGGAGGAGGTGGTACAGCCTGAAATGCCATAGGAGGATCAAGAGTTCACGGGCAGCCTGCAATATATAATCAGTTCAAGGCCAGCTGGGACTACACAGCAAAGACAAAACAAAAACAAAACCACCACCACCAGAACAATTACCAAGCGTAGTTTTAAACAAAATAAGTAACTTTTAAGATTTTAAAAAAGCAACACAGGGCCAGGGATTTAGCTCAGCAGCATAAGCGCCTGCCTTGCAAACACATGGCCGTGAGTTCGATCCCTGGTACCCCCCCCCAAAAAAAAAGCAACACAAACACTCCTTTTAGCAATAGGATATCCCCAGTTTTAATATGTACACACAGAATGTCCTCAGCATTCCAAGGGACACATTCTGAGAGCCATTTACTATGGGTCAGCAAAACCAAGAGGAAGGGCTCAGGGGACTGCTGGGGCCCGCAAGTAAAGCTCCAGAGAGGGCCAGTGTCACACTCATCTGTGGACGTTCTGAGCCTGGCAATGTGCTACTCAACAGACACTTACTACTTCAGTTATGTAAGGTAAGTTTTTTTGTTTTTTCTTTTTTGAAGACAGCGTCTTGCTACATAGCACAGGCGGCCTCCAACTCTCGGCAATACTCCTGCCTCATGCTACTGAGCACTGGAATTACAAGTGTGTGCCCCCATGCCCCGCAAGGTGTGTACTTTTATTTTACTCTTCTCTTCCACATTTTGTACTTTCATGTCGCTATCTCCAGTTAGAACTCCCAAAGACAACAAGCCTCAGCCTCAAAGTGATTACAATAAAGCAGTGCTCCTACTCTCCGTGCAACTCTTGAGTACAGGTTCTAGGATTCCCTCCTCATAGCTATACAACCTTACTCTCTAGGAAGACTCATCAGAAACTATGTTTAATAATCACTCACACGCAGTGATTAATACAATTCAGTATTTTTCAATAGTACTAGAGATCAACCTAAAGGATACTCTGCTACTAAGCTATTTCCTGCTCTTTTTACTTTTTCGTTTTGTGACAAAGTCTCACTAAATTGCCTGGGCTGGCCTTTAACATGTGATCCTTCCGTGTCAAGTATCTGGGATTAAAAGCATGTGCCACCATGCCCAGCATCCTGGCAAGTTTTGAAAACAATGCATAACAAAAAAAAAAAAAAAAGTTTACGCCAAAAGGAACTAGTTTACTCCTGAAGAACCTCTAGCTGGTAGAAATGCATGGGGTAGAAACCTGTGAAAAGGAAATCTTCACTGCTATGTGACTGTGAATGAACCATTTGAACTTTGCTAAGCCTCAGCTTCTTCTAAAAATGAGAAATCCCCAATCCTGACAAAACTAAGGTTGTAAGAGTAAAATTATGTATGTTGGCATTTATTAAACTAAAGATTCCTCCCTGTTCTACTTTAAGAAACCATTCTTTTAGGTCTGGAAAGGTCGAACCTTTCTCTGAATCAAAATACATGCGCAACTTAAATATTAAGAAATTCTCACAGTCAGGTGTGGTGGCACACTTCCTGAATCACAGCACTTGAGGATCACTGTGAGTTAGAGACCAGCTTGAGATATATAATGAGTTAAGGTCAACCTGAACTATGTGAAGAAAAAAAAAAACAGAAATACCTTAGGCTCTAGAATTTTATATTACATTAAATTTCTTTAGAAAGTTTATCACACAATTCTATCACTTTCATTTTATGTTGTGATCCAAATTAAACTTCATTCAAATTGACTCTTCTATCAGGGGAAACTATGAAGATTGGTAATATTCCAGCTATGAAATGATCCCCCCTTTAAAATTCTGAAACTATAAAAACATGCTACACATACAATATTCATTCATATGATGGCCAATAAATATTAATGCGAAATGTGAAATTATAACTAACCTTCCACATCAGGGTTAGAATACAGAGAATCTTCTCCAGCTAATCATCAGAAACTAAGTCTTAAGACACCCCTGCAATGGCCCTATACAACCGGTCAGACATGGGGTATAATGCAATCTACCTTTGGATCATGACCATGAAACTCTAAATCATGTAGGCAATATTTTTTTATTTTATGCTTAAAAGAAAAGCATTTGCAATAGCACCTTTGTATTTTAGACAGTTACTAACACAAACAGCAAAAGTACAATTGTTGGTGTCTTTTTTTCTGTTAATAATAATCATTAATATTCATCAGACCCTTCCTAGAATTGAGAGCTTACTGCCTCTTGTAAGTAACAAGTAGTATCTTAACATTTGAATCACCGGTCCTTTTAGTCATACGGCATACTCAGTAAGTATTTGAGGAATGTAATAAATATACAGTAAGTCTTAGTTCACTACAACCCAATGATTACACACATTAAAACTCTCAAAATCCAAATTTGAAATAAGTACACTAAAGCAAAATAGAGAGGCAAATACTTTTAATTTATCTCTTACACAACAGTGCAAAGTATTACCAGTCCTGAGGATTTTTAGTATCTGCTGAGTATTTAGAAAATCACTTAAGCTGAGGAAGAAAATTACTCTGATTTATATAACTTGTATGTTTCTACATATTTAATGACTTATAGAATAGCTGGGAAAGGTCAAACATCAGAATAAATAAAACTTACACACAAAGGTCTCCACGTGTGTGCACAGGTCACCACATTTAGGACAGCGGAGCTGGTTTCCACCTTTTCCAGAGTTCCCAGAGCCTGATTTCTTACTGCTCCCCTCGCTCACTGATTTCTAGCATTTACGGAAGAGAAAAAGGAGGATCAATTATTAGTTTCAGGCAACCACTTAATTTGGTGCTTAAGTGTAAACAATACAGTTTGTACTTAATCTTTTAATTTTTACAATTTCTAGAATGGAATTATTAATGTAGTTTATATCTCACCATTAAACACATGCATTTACCTATAGTCCTCTTTTACATGGTCTATGCCAACATTCTAATAAATAGCTTCCTCTTAATGGCTCGATAAATATTAGGAAAAAAGTTACTATAGTTAAAAAAAACTACCTTTTGGGGCTAGGGATTTAGCTCAGCAGCATAAGCACCTGCCTTGCAAACACAAAGTTGTGAGTTCGATCACCGGTACCAAAAAAAAAAAAAAAAAGTTACTAAAAAAAAAAAGATAAAACTACCTTTCAATGGAATTAACTCGAGTTATTTTCATAGCAAGTAGTGACTTAGTATTCTGACACATAACTTTTTTTTTAAGCTTTAAAATAGAAAAAAGAAAAGCCATCTGGTGTGGTGTGCATGCCTATAATCCCAGCACTCAGTAGGCTCAGGCAGGAGGTCTGTCATGAGTTTAAGGTCATACTAAACTATAGTGAGAACCTGTCTCAAAAAGCGAAACAAATAAAATGGGAATAATTTCACTTACTTCTGAGAGTTGCTATTAGGATTAAGTATGAATATGAAAGTGCCTAGCATATGATATGAATGTAAGTATTGACCAAAATCATATGCTGAGAGAAATCTGGTAATTCACTGACCTAATATAAACACTTCTCATCTACTTGCTAGCTACACAGGAGCCCAACATGAAGGAATACCACAAATCCTAGGCTTCTAGGTAAAGGATGAAGTAAGGTTTATACTATCATGAGTTGTAAGAATTGTAGGAAAAGAAAAAATGATGGGTATTCCTTACTCAATCGTTCTACACAGATTATTTAATGATACTAATCACTACTTTGGGTGTCAAAAAAGTGGGGGGGGGGTGAGACAAGCTTTCACCATGTAGTTCAGGCTTGTCTTCAACTCTTCTATGTAGTTTAGACTGGCCTTGAACTCAACAGTAATCTCCCTGCCTCAGCCTCCCGCGTGCTGAGATTACCTGTGTGTATCACTATGCCTGGCTATAATTTTTAATTACTGCTTTCTAAATACAATACTTAAAAATCATTTTATTGCTCAACCCGAAACAAAATAAAATTCTTCAGATCTTATACATCTTGTATTTCCTACAAAAACAGGTAAGCCAACAGGATATACAGTACTACTATTATTACATGTAACTTTTTTGTTTGTTTGTTTGTTTTTGTCTTTTTGTGACAGGGTCTCTCTATGCAGTTCAGGCTGGCCTTGAGCTCACTTTGTAGCCCAGGTTGTTCTCGAACTGGCAACGATCCTCCTGCCTCAACCTCCCAAGCGCTGGGATCACAGGCCAGAGCCACCACGCCCAGCTTATTATATGTAATTGTTTCAAGGAGAGAACTCAGAGCTGAGGATATAGCTCAGTAGTAGAGTGCCTCTTACACCTTAAGGTCCTAGGCTAAATCCTCAGTACCACAAAAAAAGACGAAAAAAGAGGATATTCAAGCATGAATATAAGTACCAAAAAAGATAAAACTACTACCTTATTTCCATCTCCAGAGCTGTCTTTATTTGTCCCATCCTTTGAGGCAAAGTATGCTGGTGTGCCTGAAAAGGTTCTAAGAGGAACTCTGCGCAGAATCTGAGTTTCAAAGGTCCCAAGCCTTCCTAAAATTGGTATATGAACACGACCACAAGAAACACCTGAAAATAAAGCAAAATGTATTAGTCTACACATCAAATGCTGATGTGCTATAATACCAAGCCCTGGAAACAAACAAAAATCCCTTGAGTATAAAGGCTGAAAACACCTGTCATTCATAGCAATAGGGCACACTGAAAGAGAAAACAGTGATCTCATCAGAGGCAAAGTTTGCTCAAAAAGGAGCCAGGCCAGGCCCTCTGAAAGATTCCAGATAAATAAGTATTTCCTGTATGTCTTCTTTCAAAGTGAGGCAAGACACTCAGGTCTTAAACAATGTGTGGCTCTCTGAAAATGTGAGAACAGCGCCACATCTGTTGAGGCCATTTATATTGGCCTTTTCTTTTCTTTTTCTTTTGAGACAGGGTCTTACTATGTAGCCTAGGCTGGCCTTGAACTCAAGGGGGTCTTCCTACTGTTGTACACCACCACACCCAGTAGGTGCTTTGTTTCATTTGTTTTTTTTTGAGGCAGGATCTCACTATGTAGTTCCGACTGGCTCTGAACTTGATATACAAACCAGGCTGGCCTCAAACTTTTTATGCCTCCTGCCTCAGCCTCCAGAGTGCTGGGATTACAGATGTGCGTCATCATGCCTAATTATTGTTTGGCTTTCTACTAATGAAAACACCTGACAATACTTTTCTCTTCAAAACACATGATAACAACTCTTCTTTCTTCAGTTATAGGCATGGAACATGTAACAAGGAAATAAAATTTCAACTGCTCTTTTAAAAATCAAGTGGTAAGGGGCTGAGGATTTAGCTCAGCGGCATAAGCACCTGCCTTGCAAGCAGGCGGTCATGAGTTCGATCCCCGGTACGATAAAATAAATAAATAAATAAATCATGTGTTATTCCACATATATGAGTTACTTAGTAGAAAAAAATCACATAGGCAAAGTGGAACGGTACCTGCTGGGGGTCTGCAGGGATGAAGAGTTATTGTACAACTACCAGAAACAGGCACACGATTTCAGTTCTAAAAGTGGAAGGGACCATGGACATGGTGATGATGGCTGCATAACACTGTAAATGTACTTTACCACCACATTATATATTTAAAAATGGTTCAGACAATAGACTTTATGTGTATTGTACCACAATAACAAAAAATTGGAGAGAAAACAAAGTTATATATTGTTCATTAAAACACACTTAAATTAAATACTTAAATGTTTTGTTTGTTTGTTTGTTTTGGTACCAGGGATCAAACTCACAACCTTGCACTTAACCAGACAAGCTCTTGAGCCACTGAGCTAAATCCTCGACCCCTTAAATACTTCAATCTTAACAGAAAAAAGAAATACAATTCAATAATTACTACATAACTACCACCCTGCTTTCAAAGATTTTAACTTTTTGCCATATTTGACATTAACACTTTCAAATGATAGATGTGTTAATACCTGAATTAATCTACCTGCTAGGTCAAGCATTGGCAACCTTTTACTATAAAGGACCAGGACAGGAAATATCTTTAGCTTTGCAGACCATGTATTCACAAATCCAAAATCACTCTGCCATTGCAACAGAAAAACACACAGCATCCAAACAAATGTGGCCGAACTGGATGCATCAAACCTATTTGCTGATTTTTACTCATAAAAATTAAAAAAAAAAAAAAAAAAGAAAACCTCTAGATTAATCAGAGTCAATGGCAAAAGAGATATATTGGATACGGCAGGGCACCATTTCCCAAGCTGGTCTTTTGCACAAAAAGATTGAATGGCCAGAGCTTAAACAACATTGTATAGATTTCAGTACCATGTATTATGCAGAAGCTTACATAAACATATTAAAACGAAGTGCCAAGAAACAAAGATTTTCTAGCAGTATACCAGATAATAACACATAATATTATTACTGGAGATAATAAATTAAAAACTAAGGGAGGGGAAGTTACTTAATGCTTAAATAAATTCAAGGAAAAAATGTGGCTTTCTCTCATTTTATTCCCTGCAACATTCTTAATTCAGGATTTAAGTTTTATTTGTGTACGTGTTAGGGTCTCTCTTGGAGGAGGGGTGCTGTGAAAGTCGTGCTGTGATAAGAGCCAGCCTTGAACTCTAGGTAGCCCAGGATGGCCTCAAGTCCCCATTGTCCTGCCTGAGCATCCCTGTCAAATACACTATACCCAAATGCAAATAAATCTATGCCTCTCAATTAAATACACACACACATACACAAAAACTGGGTTTTATTAATTCCAATTTTCTGACATAGTTGTGTACACAGTTAGAACAACTACTTTCTTTAGTTACTTATCACCCTAGGCCACCCATTCTAGCTCTACAAAGTAAAAAATAAATCCACTAACTTCAGGCAACATACAAATAAGAGAAACCAAATTCTCCCATCTCAAATAAATTTACATCAAAAACAAAAAGACTAAGGATTTACGACAAATCAATCGTTAATCCAGAATGTAAAAATTTTGTTAACACTAAATTTGAATGTTAATTTTAAAAAACAAGCCAGGTTTGGAGGCACATAATCCCAGCACTCAGGCAGCTGAGGTAGGAGGTCACTTAGATTTCTAGGCCAGTCTGTGCTATATAATAACTCAAGGCTAGCCTGAACTACACAGCAGACTTTGTCTCAAAAAACAAACAAACCCTGATATTTTTCTTTAGGTAACATTTTCAAAATAAATGTTTTCAAAAGACATTTCAAATTTTCTTAAGTATAACATTTTCATTTTATAAATTAAATGATAGCCATGATGTTCTCATTACTATGAGATTTAAGGTATATGTTAATTTTAAGCCAAATGTTAATATTTTTCCTAGGACGGGACTGGAGATTTAGCTCAGCAGCCTAAATGCCTGCCTTGCAAGCAGGCAGTCGTGAGTTCGATCCCTGGCACCGATAAAAAGGAAAAAGACAAAAAAAAATTTTTTTTTCCAAGGAAATGACATGATTTTCTATGGGAGGGGAGATCTTTTTGAGATAGGCTCTCACACTATGCAGTTTGGGCTGACCTTGAGTTCACATTGTAGCCCGGGCTGGTCTCAAACTCCCAAAGATCCCCCTGCCTCAGCCTCCCAAGTGCTGGGATTATAGGCATGTGCCACTATGCCCATTTATACTATGTCAATATAAAAAATAAGCTTGCAATCAGTTACTTGCAATGAAACTAAAGATGCTACAGTAAAGCTTATTGATGGTGTTTGATTGGTAGTAGGGGTTCATTGTTCTATTTTTGGGTTTGAAAAATTTCTGTAAAATATTAAAGCCTATGAAAGAAGCTGGAAGGCTCCAGGAATATAGCCCAGTGGCACAGCACTTTACTGGCAAGTGTAAGGTCATGAGTTTGATTCCCAATACAAAAAAAAAAAAAGCTGGGAATATAGCACACTAGTAGACAACCAAAGCCTTAAATTTAACCCCCAACACTAAAAGGGGGTGGGGAGGAAAGAAAAGAAAAGAAAGCCTGTGAGGAGCAGCAACAATAAAATAACTTTCTCACTGAACTATTCGAATGTATTCACAAAGAAAGCTATAATTATAAACAACCATTATATGAAGCAATTTTCACTTAGATATTCAGAACAAAATTTATCCTTGAAGTTAAAATTACAATCATAGTCTCTTTAAAGTCTACTTGAATAGGAAGAAAACTAATATTTTAAATAACTTACTTCCTTAAATAACATCATATAATATATGAAACTAATGCAACCATACAATCATTGATACAGGAGAAATGTAACTCTCCACCTGATGATATAGGAGAAATAAAACTCTCAATTGGTTAAATGTCAGATGTGCTGGGTTTGTGTTCCTTGAAACTGAAGAATGAATTTTAAGGGACAACAGAGGTAAGAGCAGAACAGGTAGTCAGCAGTGGTGGCACACACTTGTAATCCCAGCCCTCTGTAATGCCAGCACTCAGGAGGCTGAGGCAGGAGGCCAGCCTGGACTACATAGAGTTCAAGGCCTACCCGGACTACATTGTGAGACCCTGTCTCAAAAAAAAAAAAAAAAAAAAAAAAAAAAGGAAAAGGGGGGGGGGGTAGGAAAGATTTCCTGAGACATAGTTCCTGAGAGACAAGAGAGGTCTTAAGTGGGTAGCCACCAAGGTAATTGGTGAAGGTAATTTATAAAACAAAGCTTGGGTATAAGATGAGTCAAACTATAATCAACCAATAAGACCTCATGTACAGTGGCTTCACAAATATTGACCCAATAGGGAAACAGGACACATAGCAAAGGTATATGACATCACTAACCTTGGCATATCTAGGACTTCTAAAACAGGAACATTCTTGGGAAGGGGTGGATCCAGGTGTTCTGGTCATCTACCCAGGTGTCTGTGGATTTAAAATGACCATTGGGGACTCCGGGCTCTTCAGTTTTTTCAGTTGTTTAGATTTCAGAAGGAACTGGTTAATTTGTATTATAATTTACTCAAAATTTAGGAGGCTGAGGATTTAGCTCAGCAGTATAAGTGCCTGCTTGGCAAGCTTGAGATAGTGAGTTCAATTCCTTGTACAAAAAAAAATTTAGGATCTTAGTAGGAAGCGACTGTACTCCTCTTTAGGATCTTAGAAGAAAGTGGACTACATTCCATGCTGCGTGAGGAAATTTATTGTTCTTTTAAAGGCTTAGCTTACATGAATTGGGACTGGTAGCATATACCTGTAATCTTGCATCAGGAGGCTAAGGCAGGAGGAAAGTTCAGGGCCAGCCTGAATTGTTCTGTCTCAAAACAACAGCAACAGCAGCAGCAGCAGCAGAAGGAGCATCTTAGCTCCCTGTCCATTCATATTAAACATCCGAATGTCTCTGCTGGCTAGGATGTTCTCTTTTAACATCCTGCAGTCTCTGATATCAACAGGATGCTGAACTCCTAAACCTATGGTTCTCAAATTTGAGCTTGCACCATAATCCCCTAAAGGTTTTTTTTCTTTTTTTTTTTTTCATACCTGGAATGGAACTCACAACCTCAAGCTTGCCAGGCAGCTGCTTTATGCAACTGAGCTAAATCCCCGGCTCCTCCTAAAAGTTTGTAGCACTATTCCTGGGGTCTGAATTAGAAGGTCTAAGATGGCATCCAAGAATGTATCCCAACAAGTTCCTAGTGACTCTATGGCTACCAGTCTGGGGAATCAAACTTCAAAACAACCACACTAAACAATAAATGACTATTCACCAGTCATAAAATCTTCAAAGAAAAAATAAAGCCCTTAAGCCAGACGTAGTGGCCCCCACCTTTTGAGCTACTGAGGAGGCTAGGAGGCAGGATTCCAAATTCAGGGCTAGTTTGGGCACCTGAGACCCTGTCTCAAAACCAAAAAAAAGAGCCTAGAGTGGTGAGACAAATCTGTAATTCCAGCATTCTGAGAGGCAGCAGCAGGAGGACTACAAGTTTGAGCCCAGTGTGGGGAACTTAGAGACTCAGTGAGATCCTGCATCAAAATAAATAAATAAATAAATTTTAAAACGGCTGAGGATGTAGCTTACTGTGAAGGTCCCAGGTTCATTCTCCAGTGCCACAAACAATAAAATTTAAAAATCAAAAATTACAAGTTTGGGGCTGGGGATTTAGCTCAGCGGCATAAGCACCTGCGTTGCAAGCAGGCAGTCGTGAGTTCGATCCCTGGTACCAATAAAAAAATTTTTAAAAAAAATTAAAAGTTTGGGATACAGCTTAGTAGCCGTGGATTTAATATTGGGTATAGGATAGAAGACAGGAAAAAAAATACATATAAAGCACTAAAGCAAACTAAACGGGTTTTAAATTTTTTTTTTTTTCTGTGTGTCATGAACCCCTCGGGCAGTCTCAGGAAGTACAGAATGAAATACATAACAAGGGGAATCAATTATGTTCAAGTAGTTATCAAAATATTTTCAGGGCTAGGGATGTGACTCAGTGATAAGAGTGAGTGCCTAGAATGTGCAAGGCCCTGAGTCAGTCCCTAGCACAAGGGGGGAAAAAATGTTCCTTTATTAACAAAATAAGAGCTAACATTTCTGTTAATAACTACCATAATTTCAAAGTAATGAAAAGTATAAACATTATTTTGAGACATTAGAAACTGTAATGTGATATGAAATTATCTGCGACTTTAAAACTGGTGACACATTCAGGCTACTGTGATTTGTTACCTACATTTATAATTGAAGGAATTGCTACAGTCAGTCACTTCAAGATTAGTTCAGAGCATATTTGGATTCTATCCACGCTTTCCTTAGGAGCCTGTGAATCTTAGGTGAAGAACCTCTGAAAGCCTTCAAAATAAATTATTCCCATATATTTTGCAAGACTACCTGGCAGCAATGATAAAAGCCAGTTAAAAGTTAAACTATTTATAAAACATGTGCCACATAGAACATCTCTGAGTTTCAGAGCAGCTGCTTTTAAAAATAAATATACTGTACGACCATTTTAGGCCTATTATGAAGTAGAAGCAATCCCAGCACTCTAGCAGGCTTAGGCAGATGAAATGGACTTTAAAGCCCAGCCCTGGGAACTTATCAACTTAGTGAGATCTCTATTACAACATAAAAAGTATAAAAGAGTTAGGGCCCTGGGTTCAATCCCCAGTATAAAAAAAGAAAAAGGAGGGTAGTGGACTAGGTTGGGGGCGGGCCTGCCACCCCAGTGGTAAAAGCCTGTTATCCCAGCTACTGGGAAGTTAACGGCAGAAGATTGCAAGTTCAAGAGTAGACAAGGGAGCAAGATTCTGACTCAGAATAAAGTAAAACAAGCTGGAAATGTATAGTTTGGTTTACAGCACTTAGCTAGCATGCTTGAGGTCCTAGGTTCAATCTCCAGCACTGTACAAAACAAGAAAAAAAAAAGGAAGAAATGTTTTACAGTGCCAGGAATAAAGATGTTTTATCATTTATTCACAGTAAATTGTATTATATTGACGAGAGAAAGTTAAAACCTAAGTGTCTTTAAGGTAGACATAAATCAAAAATCATGAAAATTACGGATGCTAACATGTCTACACTCTTCTAATACCCTCTGAATGAACAAGGAGTAAAGACGGACCTTTGCAAATCCACACTTCTTAGAGCCAAACTCAGACTAAGCATGTCATTCGGAACCTTTATAATGCAATTAGGCATTCCTTAATGTATGCTTCAGGATGCAAAGTGACCTCATATATGCAAAGTATTTAGCTCAGTAGCATAAGCACCTGACTTGAAAGCAGGCAGTCGTGAGTTCGATCCCTGTACCGATAAAAACGAAAAAGCAAAAAAAAAAAAAAAAAAAAAAAAAAAAAATATATATATATATATATATATATATATACACACACACACATCAGTTTGGATATGAACAATTTTTCAAACTTATAAAAAGAAAACACTGATGAAAACACATCACATTTGATACATATAGTCTATCAGGAAGAGAAAACATCTAGGGTCTCATGAAAATTTACTAAATAAATTTCAAACTGTCATTTAAATTTTAAAGTTTAGCATGACAGGCTGGGGATATAACTCGGCAGTACAGCACTTGACTAATATGTGGGAGGCACTGGGTTCCTTTCCTAGTACTTCGAGGGAAAAAAAAAGTCTAGCTAGGTAAGACAAGTCCACAGAAATTATTTAAGAAGTTCAAAAATCAATTTTTCTAATCTTAAATTCTTAATCTTATTCTGATAATACCCCCACTATCTTGTTAGAAAATTGAAAGTATTTTGATGAGAAATTCCTAAATGTTTTCAAGAACAGTAAACTAAGTCAGGCATGGTGGTACATTCCTGTAATCCCGAAATTCAAGAGCTGAAAAGCAGGATTATACATTCAAACCAGCCTGGGGGAAGTTGGTGAGACTTCATGTCAAAACTTTTGTGTTTGTTTATTTGTGTTTGGAGATAGTTTTGCTCTGTAATTCAGGCTGGCCTTGAACTCATAGCAGTCCTCCCGCCTCAACCTTCAGAATGCTGAGATTATAGTCACATGCCACCATGTCCCAGCTTTTCTCTCTTTTTTTTTTTTTTTTTCCTTTTAAGTAAGGGTTTTCCTATGTAGACTGGCCTCCAACTTGCCAGAATCCTCCAGCCTCAGCCTCCAGAGTACTGAGATTATAGGTGTATGCAACTGTGCCCAGCTTAAAATTTAAAAAATTTCAAAGTGCAAAGGTCCTCGGTTCAATCCCCAGTACCACTAAATAAACATTGTATTATATGGGGTAGAGTCTCAGATTTGAGGCTTAGTTTACTTCTTTAAGGTGAAAACAATAGCTCTGTATTTCTGAAAACCTCTGGTAAACTTTATTAATGGATACACAAGTATATAATAAACCATTAATTTGTTTTGGTTTACTTAATTACATATGTATCCACGCGACAGATATATTTAACTTTTAAAAGAAAACAGTGGTTGATTTGAAATTATTAACCACTTATTTCCTGATTCCTAGTTTTCAGCGGCTCTTAGCTCAAGTATATCAAAAAATTTGTCAAAGGCTTTCCTACCCAAAAAACATCCAAATACTCTAATTGCCCTTAAAAATGCTACTCATTTGGTTTACTCCTCCAGATAAAAAGAGGAGGATGAGGTCTTATTCACTACCTCCATCACCAAATGATTTGGCACACAGTAGGTGCTCAACAAATGTATCCCAAATAAAACCATCTTACCTTCAAAACTATCTGCAGCGTTCAAGCATTTACAAAGTAAATCTCTGGAACTGGAACATCTTTTTAGACCCTGCACTCTACCAGGTGTAACAAAATATTCTGGCCACATTCATTATGTTACTTTTACATATCAATTTACAAAATGTTCAGCCCACATTGTCCCATGTCATTGCTGTGTAGTAAATAAACTATTAGGACCTATTTAGTAAATGATCAAGATTTTATAACCAAAAGATTAGGAAAGCCATCCAAAGATCATAAACTGATAAACCAAAACAAATTTGGAAGTTAGTGATTACAAAAAGATCTAGCTGGGTATGGTGGCAAAAGCCTGTAATCCCAAGACTTCAGAGACTGAGGCAGGACGATTGCCGGAGCTCGAGGCCAACTACACAGTGAGACCTTGTCTATAAAAAATAAATAAAATGGATCTAGACTCATAGTCTCGATTTGCATAGATTTGGGAAGAGAAAAATGATTTCTTTTTCGGAATCTCTTGGGTCGGGTGCCTACTATTCCTTCACAGCTCCAGATAAACAAACAGGCAGGTAAACAAGAGCCACACTTGGAAAACTATCAAAGCTGACAAGCTAAGGAAGCCGGCAAGTGACTGAGGATACACGTATGTATTTCAAATCAATTCCAATCATAGTTCCCCTAATCCCCTCGTTCACTCCCCCTGAACCCCCTCGAAGGTCTGCCAGTTGCCGGGAAGTCCTTCGAGCTCCGTTTACGCCCCCAGTGTTGACGACCGCATAATGACAGCGACACCGCGATTGTCGAGCGCGTCCAGGACCTTCAGCTGGGTGCCGCGAAGTGATCCCAAAAGTGACAACCTCTCAGTCCGGCCCCTCCCGGAGCCCCCGACAACCCCAAGGGAAGTCGGGCCGGGGTGAGTGCCTCGGGAGTCACTTTGCGACTCTTTTTTAAAGAGTTTACGCGAAGCGGCCACATTCCGGCCCCAAACTCGGGAGGCCTGCGAGCGCGCGGGGGGCCAAGAACACAGTGTTTCCCTCAAATTTGACGATCTGCTGCTCCAGCGGCGAGGAGAGCCCCCACCCCACTGGGGAGGTGCGGGTGTCGGACGGGACGGGGTCCAGTGCCCTCTCCAGTCGGCCGGTCTCCCATCTCCACCCCCGCACCGCGGGCCCCGGCACAGACCCTTTCTTTACCTCTCGGCACTGAGGCGAACGAGATGGTGATGAGCCGGGCGGCAGCCGCGCCGCAGGTACAAGCGCCGCAGCTGGACATCTCCGCCGGGCCTAGGTCGGGGGCTTGCCGACCTCAGGGTCTAGGCAGTCCGACCCCTACTCGCAGGTCGCGCTGACGTGGTTCCGAACCCTCCCACCGGCCCGAGGCCGGATACAAAGCGAACTGGACAGGCAGCCAGCTCCGGTCGCTCTGCGTGCCCTACCGCCTTCCACTCACTGGGAACCTCTGCCTCCACCCTTTCCCCCCTCCTCCTCCCCCCATCCCCCGCCTACCGGGCCCCGGGAGCGTGCGCGCGCCTGCGCCCTGGGCCCAGGCGGGAGGCGTGGACACGCGCCTGCGTGCGTACGTGCGTGAAACCTCAATGCGAGAGAAGGAAGGGGGCGGTAACCTGAGCGCCAATGAGCGCCCTACGGCAAGCGGCTAGCCCCAAAGTCCCGACATGCAAATTTTACGGACGTTCTGTAATCTGGGAGCTGAAAGGTTTTAGCCTCAGAAAGGTGCTTGCTCGGAGTTGTCTGAACCCGTTGTAGTTAAGCCCTTCTCTGGGTTAGTTTTCAGTGGTGGCAGGAAAGTTCAAAGAGAGAGGTGGTTTATGTAGCCCCAGAATGAATCTTCAAAGTGACTCGAGGGATTGGAAGTATTGCTGAGTGTTAGAGTGCTTGTTGGGAGGGCCTGGGTTCAACCCCCAACACCTCCACCCACCATCCATCCATCCATCCATCCATAAAGTGACTTGGCAGCCACTAGACCCTTATGATTCAGTGTGTTCTTTCCCTCAGGGGTCCCACATTCTGCATTTGTGGTCTCGTTAGTTTCCTCATTTTTATGGCATTGAAATGATATCTTCACCTAATTATTCGAGCAACACCTGTTGGAAGGTGGCAACTCTCTTACCTTGCTCTTTCAAGCCTAGTGATGGTTAAGTTTGCAGGTCTTGTGAGTTCAAGGATTCCTCACAATCACTAGTGTGAAAATGTGATCACACACTAGTGAAGTCCCTTCGTGGAACCTTCTTGCTACCCTCTGAGCCCTGTGTCTGCATGGCCCTCTTCATATGCAATCCACAGTGGTGACAAATGAATCAGACCCATCTTCAATCCTGTATCATTTACCGTTTTTTTGGTTTTTTTTTTTTTTTTTCCGGTACCGGGGATCGAACTTATGACCTCACGCTTGCCAGGCAGGCACTTATGCCACTGGCCACTGAGTTAAATCCCTGGCCCTGTATGATTTACCTTATGCGTGAGTCTGATCTACTCTGATGCCCAGAGAATTTGCTAGGTAAGCTTGAGCACGTTTAGGTCTGAGCTTTGGAGAAGGGAAAACTGGTAGTGAGAGTCAAGCGGGGACCAACACCAGGTCACACAAAACTACTAGCCTTCATTGACCTCTAGCCAGAAAAAAATGTTTCCAGTTCCCTGCAAGAAGAAATATTGGCTGTGTGCCAGACTACATGGTTCTTTCTCCCTTGGAGAGCTTTCTCCTGGCACTTTCTCAGTGTGAAGTGGCAGAGGCCAGTCAGACATGATGGCACATGTGCTTAATCCAAGCACTGCTGAGGCAGTAACATTGTAAATTCATGCTAGGTGTGGTGGCATATGCCTATAATCCCAGCAGTCTGAAAACTGAGGCAGGAGTGTTGCCATGGGTTCAAGGACAGCCTGGGCTACAAAATGAGTTTAAGGCCAGCCTGAAATGCATAGTGAAACCCTGTCTCAAAAAGCCGGAAAAAAATTTACAAATTCAAGCCCAGCATGTTTCAAAAATAAAAACTAAGCAGAGCTGGGGATATAGCTTAATGTGAAGGCTCCAGGTTCATTCCCCAGTAGGGTGTATGGGAAGGCAGAGTCCAGAAGAAAGCTCCAGTCCTCTTCACTGCAAATTGATATTCCTTTGGTTGCCTCCAATTAGTAGAATTTTAAGACAGGAGAATGCCCAAAGTCCCCTCCATTGAGTGTTTTCAAAGCCCATTCCTAATATGTCACGGAAGCTTTTAGCTCTGTAGCGGTGGCAAGGGAACCAAGTAAAGCAGTCTACTCTGCCTTCACGGCACCAAAGTCAGCCAGAGCAGCTCCGTGCTTAACCTTTTCATTTATTGGGGTTTTGTTTGAAAACTGGATGTCTGCTTTAAAAGTGTTTGAAATTCATTGTAGAACAACCTCTCCATTCAGAGATGAGCTAAAAGGGTCAAACAAGCCCTAATACCCAAATGAAATTCTTTTCATCCCATCCCACCTTCTTTTCCAATTAAATGCACATTTCCTCCTTATAAACTAGAAATAGTTTAGTATCTGTGCTATCAAAGCGAGCATGTTATTATAGAAATAAAAACTTGGCATAGCTGGGTGTGGGGGCGCATGCCTGTAATCCCTGCTCTTGGAAGGCTGAGGCTGGAGGATCATTTCAAGTTCAAAGCCAGTTTGGGCTACATGGTAAGTTTAAGGCCTGCCTGAACTGCATGGTGAAATCCTGTCTCAAAAAGACAAAAACAAGGCTGAGGATTGTTTTTAGCTCAGCGTCATAAGTGCCTGCCTTGCAAGCACACAGTTGTGAGTTCAATCTCCAGTACCAAAAAAAAAAAGACTAAAATAAACTACCTGGGTGTGGTGGCACATGCTTGTAATCCTAGCATTTGGGAGACTGAAGCAGGAGACTGACTCAGTTTAAAGCCAGCCTGGGCTACAACTGTGTCCAAAAAAAGGAAGTTGTTTGTTAGCATGTATAGACTGTAATATAGCAAGCTGAATAAAGGTGTAGTTAGATTGAGCCTCAGCTGGGGGCATCACTGCTCCAGGAAGTCCTCTCTTTTTCTGTTCCAAGAATGGAACTTCTCACATAGTCAATCAGCCACTTACTTAACACCAGTTATATGCCAGGCTCTGGGAAATAGTACTGGACAAATAAAATTGTTTCTTCCCTCATGGAGTTTCCATCCTATTGGGAAAGACAGGGCTGTCAGTAAGTAAAACATAAGTGTATGACAGTGGTGCTCATATAGGAAGTGATACCAGACCTCTAAGTGATATAGGGGAAATGTAACTTCCAATCTGCTAGATGTCTGACATGCTGAGTTGTATTACCCAAAATCGAAGAACGAATTCTAAGGAACAACAGAGGTTAAGAGTAGGAAATATTTATTAAAGGGTAGAGATACAGCTCCTGAGAGGCAGGAAAGGACCCGAAAATGAGATGCTTAGGACCCCACTTCTCAGGGGAAGTTTTACAGAGCATGACCTCATGAGTACAGTGTGGGTGACAGCTACAATCAACCAATAGAGTGATAAGTACTGCTGCTTCGGTGACTTTGATCCAATGGGGAAGCAAGTCATGCTGTATGTGCACACAGGAGGAACAAAGACTCTTTCAGGAAGCAATGGGCCTGAGGCTCTTGGTCACCCATCAAAGTGACCAAAGGCTGTGTAGCCTCCATTAGATCACTTATCTTGGGTCTGATTGCTTCCTCTTTACCTTGAGGCCTGGCCTCCAAAATATGCAACTCCAGCCATAGCTACAATGTGTTTTCACCTTTGTCTTGACCAGTATGTGACTGCCTATAACACTTCTACCTATAACAGTACAATGATGCGGAATGTCCCTAAATGTGGTATAATACATCTTTCCTAGAGTGACTGAGCATTTGGTGTATTTATGGGTAGGTGTTTTGTGCATTTAGCCTTGTATTCTCAACTGGACGGTGAGCTCCTTGTTTGTTTTCTTTTGTGAGGCAGGATCTCACTATGTAGTTCAGGCTGGCATTGGGCTCACTGCATAGGCCAGGCTGACCCCAAACTTAGACATCCTCCTGCCTCAGCCTGTTAAGTGCTGGGTTTACAGGCATGCATCATCACACCCAGTTGACAATGAAAGCAGGTACTTTACTATGTTTAGGACTAAACCATAGTAGAAATTTAGTAAACGGGGCTGGGGATTTAGCTCAGCAGCATAAGCGCCTGGCTTGCAAGCCCATGTGGTCGTGAGTTTGATGCCTGGTACTGGTAAAAAAAAAAAAAAGAAAGAAAGAAATTTAGTTAACATTTGATTACATGCTTATTTCCTAGCAATACTTTTGCTTGCTGGAATGGTGTCTTCAGAAAATCCTGTCCACAAGCAGATCAAGTTACACTTAACAAGAAAATATTAGTAGACAAATTTTATAAATGGTTAATACCAATGACTTTCCAGGAAGGAATTCTCAGTGGTTGCCTAATCAGCAGAGTGTAGACTTTGCCCTAGAAAGTACAAAACAGGGGGAGCTGAACACAGCTCAGATTAACTTTTTGTTGGCAGAGTGAACAAGAGTCATGTGGCTCTGGTCTCAGGCCAGTGATGGCTTCCACAAACAGGGAACACAAATGCATTTTAATGCATTTCAGTGCATACTCAGAACTGTTCTTTCGGGCCAAGAGTAATGGCATGTGCCTGTAATCCCAGCACTCAGGAGGCTGAGGCAGTATTGCCATGAGTTCGAGGCTAACTTGAACTACATAGTGAGTTCAAAACTAGCCTAAACTGTATAGTGAAACCCTGTCTCAAACCACTCCCACCTCAAAAAAAAAAAAAGAAAGAAAGAAAAAGGACTATTCTCTGCTTGGAATCTTTTTATCCTGATGACTGAGCCCATCACCTTTCCACTGAGCTATCTCTCTAGCTCTTTTTATTTTTTATGTTGAGACAGGGTCTCACTGAGTCCCTAAATCAACCAGGTGGGATTTGAATTTGGATCATCCTGCTCAGCCTCCCAGAGGCCTGGGATTAGAGGTGTGTCACCATGATTAGTTTTTGGGCTTTTGGGATTCAGCACCCAAGAAGCCTGGAGTGGCACTAACTTTGTTCAAGGCTCTTTGATGCTTACATCTGATAGTGGCATAGATGGCACAGTAGTGTTCAAACTAGGACAATGGAGTTACACCGGAACTCCCTGAACGGTGTACGAACACAGAGGTGTGTCATTGAAATGAAATAACATCTGAGCTTGAAATCGTTCAAATATCTGTGGCCATTCTTTAGGAAATACCTGACAATTGGGTAAAGCAATGTGTTCCAATTTATAAGTAGACGTTCCCTGCTCAGAAATTCACAGGGTAGAATAGTTCTTTGCACCAGGGTGTGGCTGCGTAGCCATGAGACAGAGCGGAGTTTAGGGTCTGGACAAAGAGTAGTAGGGTTCCAGAGGTAAACTCTGGTGTTGCAATGATAACCTCTGTTCAGGTTACTGTCAGATCATCTTCCCAAATTCTAGGTTCAGAAGCA